GTCAATATCTGCCGCGAAGAACAGATCCTCTAGATCTTGTTTGACACGACAGATAGACTCTGCTGCCCAGAACAAGCGAGTTGTGAGTGTCGAATTGTAGGTGTGTACTATGAATGTTGAGTGTCGGTGTGTACTATGAATGTTGATGTTGAATGGCTAAAATAAAACTCGGCCGCTTCATCTGCCGCCTAGAACTAGAAACGATAAATTTCGAATCTTGTTACTTACCTTGGTTCGAAGCAGGTTCTCGCTGTTGTTAGGTCTTCGTTTTTTACATCGTTCTTTTTTTTTAAATCTTGATCTTCGGCCGCAAAGCAGGACTTGTAAACATACAGGTCGCGTGGTCCGTGTGGTCTGTTATCGTGCAGCTATGCCAGCACGTCAAAGTGTTCTCAGTGGTAGGTATGTACGAGAATGTGCTGAATAAAACGCTTCGATATATTTCTCGCTAGTTTTGGATTTCGTACAGCTAGCGCACCCGCGCGCGCACCTGCTTTTCCAATAATAGAAACCGTTATAGTAGTACTTCTACCACGACAACTAGCTGCTCGCGCCCACCTTCACAACTTGAGGAAGGCAGCGCTGGTCGTCTAGCTCTGGCAATAGGTATTGCGGTGACCTCCACCTGGTGAGAATTTTTTGCCGCTCTCTATTGAAGCTGCGCTCTGCCAGGCAGCTGCGTAGCAGCGTGTCGTTGTAAAGTATGACTATGATGTGTGAAAGATGTCGTATAAGGCATTCAGGTCTCGTCGTCGTCCGCTTTTTTGAATATCTACGTCGTCACAAAACCATAATGAAAGTCTATCTACTTACAACCGCTAAACAAAGGAAATAAATGTTGCTACTCAGAAAAAGTCACCAGCACATCATCTGAGCTGTCATCATCATTCCTGCTCAAGAAAAAGTGTAAAGATTGATGCTTCTCAAGCTACTACCACAAACTTGGTATCTAGTCCGCTTTCGAAAAACAAAAATTGTCTTCTTTGTGGTCCGTTTTTCGTTTTACCATCTTAAAAATAAGTCGTCCAAGAAATCGAGGAAAGACAAAGAGCTAGACCGAAATACAGTCGTCCAACAGGCTACTCGCGGGTAGAGGAGGACTACTTGGGCTTTTTTACAATATGTGCTTACGTGGTAAACACGACTAGCGCCAGAAGCCCTTCTACCTTTTTTTATCGCCGTTCACCCTGGATTACTTACTTCGGCTTTTGCTTCTTGTGCGTTTGCTGAAAATTATCACGACAAATTTTCATTGATGAAAGCCTAGACTATCCGAACTGGCCTCATATCTATCCTTTACATTCCACGACTTTCTGACGTGAGGTCAAGTTCAATGCTGACAAAGGGTCATACTTCACTACGACTACCGTTGTTATCGTAGCTTTGTATAGACTTTGTGCTCTTGTCTATAATTCTGGTTCTTATTTACGTATTTTTCTATACATAAGACTCCTGCGTGAAGTATCCGTACGCTCATCGTAGCAATCACCCCTATCAAAAGTAGTGGATGAATTGTTCTATCTCTTAGTCAGACAGGGTCTGTGTCCGATGTTGAAATTGTGAGAGTCAGTTTTCTACTACACTATATTCTTTCAGTTTCTGAATATTGCCTTTCTTGTCCAATGCCGCGGTCCTACTTTATTCAGAAGAACCTGCTCACGGGCAGCGTCTCTGTCAATCAGGTTTTGTTGTGTCACAACGATGAAATTTCGCTTCCCGCAAAATTCTATCTGGAATAAATGTAGTAGGATCCTCGTCGTGGTCGATGAAGAAGCGGTAGACCACATAGCTCAACTACAAGCAAATAGAAAAATAGCGCGTTGAACGGATCCACCAGCTGCCAGCCCGTTTTTTGCTTTTTACATTTCGCTACTGCGCTGTAGCCTAGCGCTGCAAATGAATAATGAGATCAGTTTTCTGCTCTTCCGACCCGCGCTGCTCGTTTTCTGCGACATTTTGCACATCTAGTACAAATGTGAAAAGTGTCGCGAAGATATCAAAAATCGACGCAAAAATCTGGACGATAACATGATCCGAACTGTCTTGTTCCCCACGCGGCACTAATGCTAATCTGATTCTGAGATCTTCATCCGTTGCGAAAAATACGCCCACGCTCGCTGCAATGCTGCTACTGGCTTATGAGCTCGTCGGCCATGCAGCTGGTCGGTAGAAGTCTAGCTCCATCTTCATCCCCATATACCCCGGTTTTCCCCAAAAGCAAAATTTTTTTTTCGATTCAACTGTGAGCAGGGTGGGCCCTGCGTTGGCGGCCTACGCCGCGAACGGCCAGACCGAGACGCCCGCCCCCCTCGGTGTGCTGCTTAATGTAACGAAAGATATTATCTAGCTAACGGCGCGCCATGATTACGCTCGCGGCCCCTCGGCAAATATGCGCGCAACGCAGGACAGGCCACTGCGATCCGGACTCCGGGCGCAGCTGCCTGCCTACCCTTCATGGCAGAGCAACTCGCCGACTTTCTCCGCGGCGGACCCCCTTGCGCCTCTCTAAGATTGGCGCTGCGCGTAACAAGGGGCGCGCATACGCCAGCAGCTCTGTCGCGCAGGACCCGCTGCGCCCGGAGTCCTAAAGCCTAACCACTTTGCCGCCCCGAGGGCGGCCAGGGGGCGGGCCCGGTTTTTGAGGAAAAGGACCAGGGTCCGCCCAGGCTCCCGCCGCCCAGGCTGGATCCGAAGCCCCTTATTTGACAAGGCCTGTCTTCTCCAGCTTGGACTTGCCGGAACCGTTTCCCTGGGTACATGCTCGCACACGCTGGCAAGAAAAAAAACGTATGCTGGGGATTTCGGTCCTAAGCACCTGTATACGGGCTTTCGGCCATCAAAACGAGCACCGGAAAGCCCCCCGAAAAGGTACGCATGCACGACCTCCAGGGAAACGGAGAGGCCGACGTCCCAGAACCTGGGCGCGGCCTTCGCGGCCCGGCGGGCATTTGGGCCTTCGCCAGGGTCATGGCCGGGCGAGGCCGCGGGCGGGCCCGCGCGGGGCTTCCAGGCGCCCAGCCCCCGAGGGCAGCGCCGCGCCCCGGTGGGCTCTTCAACGGAGACTGGGCGCCCGGTCTCTTCAATTGTCGTTAACAGAGTCCGGGCGCTTCGTCCGGGGGAACTGCGCAACGCATTCTTCCCCAGCGCCGCGCCCGCGACCACACAAACAAGGCCACCGGGGCGGTCCCGCGTTGCAGTAGCCCACACGCAGCCAGCACCGAAGCAGCTACACACCTTGACACATCTTGGCGCCCTGTTCGGTTGTGCAGTGCCTTGGCCACGTCGTTGTCCTGCTAGCTTCTCTGCTTACATAGCAGCCACAGAGGCCATCTGCGAAGGAGAGCCAATGGCGGACACCGACCGGCTAGGTTGTGGAGCCGGCGGCAACGCTATTCCATCACTTCAAAAAAAAAATTTTGATTTGGGGAAAACCGGGGTAGTGGGGACAGTTTTCGCTACCGTAAATGCAGCTGGTCGGTAGAAGTCTAGCTCCATCTTCATAGAACCAAAAAAAATTTCGCGCGCGCGCTGCGCGCGCGCATTCACTCACTTCATACGCAGTCAATGGCGTTGCATCGATTCGAAGGCAAACGAGCACCGCGCGCCCGCACATCGAAGGACATTTGAAGCGGCCACTTCAACTTTCCCCCATCGAAGGAAATTTGAAATGGCCCCTTCAACTTTCCCCCATCGAAGGAAAATCGAAGTGCCCACTAACTTCAACGCTCCCTCATCAAAGGAAGTTCGCAGTTGCCATTTCAACTTTCCCTCATCGAAGCAAGGAAATTTAAGATGGCCACTTCAAATGTCCCTCTTCGAAGGAAATTTGAAGTGGCCACTTCGCATTTCCCTCATCGAAGGAAAATCGACGCGACCGCTTCAACCTTCCCCCATCGAAGGAAATTTGAAATGGCCGCTGCAACTTTCCCTCATCGAAGGAAATTCGAAGTGGCCGCTTCAACTTTCCATGACCGAAGGAAATTTGAAATGGGCACTTCAACTTTCCATCATCGAAGGAAAATTGAAGTTCAACTTTCCCTCATCGAAGAAAATTTGAGTTGGCCATTTCAACTTTCCCTCATCGAGGGAAAATCGAAGTGCCCGCTTCAACTTTCCCTGATGGATAACGACAGCAGCGCCCCAGGGGCCGCCCGCGTGGAGGACACGCATGCGGGAATTTTTGGCCCCCTAGATGCCACTCGTCCGTGGCATCCGCTATCGGCTAACGAACTATATTCGACCATCAAGAGCCCACACTTGTTGGCAAGTGACGGCAAGGGACCCCGAAGCCCCGAAGCCGCCGAAGCACTCTGGGGGGGCCCAAATGGGGGGGGGGGTAAAATGGTCGGCCATTTTGCGAGCATACCATGCGTTTTAGAGTTCGTTTTAGGCTGCTTTCTGGACCTCAGGTCCCTAAGCCCCTAAGGGTCCCTAAAGGTCCCTAGCCCCTAACCTATAAAGTGCTGTAATTATAAGGTCGTCGGCCATGCAGCTGGTCGGTAGAAGTCTAGCTCCATCTTCATCTTCATCTTCCCAGCAAAATGTCCCTTCTTCTTCAGAAAAAAAAAAATGGTATGTAAGTGGTTTAGTATGGATCTTTTGGCAGCACGTCCATCATACTGCGATGGTGTTGTCTACTTGACGTAGTTTGAATCTACTTCCTAGATCCTCCGCTTCGTCCTCTTTCGCACGGTTCAGTTTGTCAACAATCTATAGTTGGTACAAGACTATTGTAATTGTTCTGATCTCAACATCTGTCATGTAAGTACCACAAATAAAAAAATGCAGCAAGCCCTAGATTTGACCGAAGTAGATGATACAACTTTTTTCGCTGTTTAGTTTGCCTCGTGATCTACGTGCGGAATGATCGAAATAGGAAAGGAGGAACTGCGAGACAACTGGAACTGGAGGATGACCAAACAACACATTACAAAAATGACAACACTTCCGTCAGGAGCTCCATCGTACGTAGTAGACGACTAGCATTTTTTTTTTTTTTTACGGTGTATTGGAGGTGATGTTCGTCGTGGTCGTGCTTTACATGTCAATGTCATTGAAATTGAAAATATGAAATCCTTTCTTATTAAATCCATTCTGGAAGCCGGGAGCTTTCTTTTATTTCTATCAACCACGATGGATAGTCCTGCAAACTGACAGCAATGCTGTCCATCGGTCTATCTTCAGTTCTTCTTCTTGATGAGTCCTCCCAATAAACTCATTGACTTTTTAGATTATAATCTTCAATGGATACGAGAACCTCACCCTCCTGTAACTCCGAAAATTATCACAATGTAGCTGCAACAGCAACTGGCACTTCCACTGCCTCCAGACGATGTAGTACTATCTGATGTGTGGTCACCATCTCCTGCGCGGCTCGTTCTTGTTCCTGAAAAAATAGTATCACGCACCATGCATTGGTCCGTCCATTTCCAGCGCAGCTTTCAAAAAAAGGTCCTGATCTTTCATCTCAATCATGGGATGCAGAAGCATTCCCATCGGCGACAGAACCGGATGGGACGATTGGTGTTCCTGTGCCTCTGATTCCTGCTGCTGGAGTTGCTGCAGCATCGCGTTCCGTTTTTTCTCCTGTTCCGCTGTTTCCTCCGCCTTCCTGCGTCGCTCCGCCATGGTCTTTTCCGGTCTCACATAAGCTGGATTTTTCACGGTGATATCCTGCAAAGAAGCCAGAAGGAGGCGTTGGTTGCTTTCTTCTTGAACGATCCGCGCATGATCGACGTCTGGACAACTTAGCGGGAAACCAGAATAGGAAAAAGCAGCAGGAGTAGAAGAAGTATTGGTCTTAGTAGTACTACTTCTGGACGAAGAAAGAAACGACACGGATGATGTTGGCGATGCTTGTTGCATCCTCGACAGCGACATGGTTGTTTCTTGGTTGTTCTCATTCTCTCCACCTGTTCCACTAGTACTACCTTGTTCACTTCCACTACCTGCCAGTACGCCAGCCCAACTGCTAGAAGCAGAAGAAGAGGAAGACGAAACTACGTAGGATGGAAAAGTTCTACTTCCGCAGCTGTTAATTTTCGCAACTGTTGCAGGAGCTCCGGCAGCACAAGTTTGTGATTCATCTGCTTCGGCGGGAAGGTGATCCTGTACTTCTTCTTCTACGTTGAACCTCACCTTTTTTTCTCGTGGTGAGGAAGAGGACCTTCTAGAGGCACAAGTAGAAGCAGTACTTGATGGCGAGCCAGCGCGGCTCTGCTCGTGGTCGTGGTGCGGGGATCTGCGCATAACAATAGAAAAGCAGTACTGCTACTGCAGCAACTAGAAACAGTTCGAAGAGGCTTGGCCGAAGAGCTGGAGCGTGCTTTCTTTGGGGCTGACTGTTCCCGGAAGGGCAGCCGACGCACTAACGCCGCGCGATGATGGCAAACAGCTTGATGGCAACAAAGTACAAAAACAAAAAGGAAGAGCACGCGTAGCCAGGAACATAAAATGAATAAGAAAAGGCGGCCAGCAGAGCGACCGGCCCACCAACTGCAGCCCAACGCCTAGCGCGCCAGATCCGTCCGGCCTCTGTAGTGCCAAAAGCCGGGTCAGGTATGGTAGAGGTCGATAAGGGCACGCGCTTCCGCTTGGTGCGCCTCACCGTAGTTGTGCCGTCTGCCTTCTAGGAAATGGAAAGCAGACCCGCGCCGGGCGGCCTCCCCTCCTTCTACTTCAGCTACCCAGCAAGCGCAGGCAGCTAGGGCGAGAACGCCAGCGAGCCTTTGCGGCCCGCAAGTGCGTTTTTGTTTTTAGGTGCGGCTCCTGGCCGTCGCGTTGGTACTCGTCGTAGCAGGTGGCCGCCCGGCGTGGAAAGAAAACGCTACAACCTGCCGAAGGCACCTGCGCCGCTGCACGGACGTAACCTCTGCGGCGGCTCACATCTGTTGCCTTCGCATCAGCCTGCCGCTGTGCGCCGAAAGTTTCTCTTGCGTATGGTCTTGGGCTTGTTGTGTGCATGCTTTTCCATCCGGGCTGCCCTTCGGCGAGGCTACTTGGCCCGATACCCTGTAGCAAGCAGCAGGACCACGCAGCTGCTGGTGGTTGCCTCCCAACAAATCTAAGTAAGAGGCACGCCTGCCAGTGCTGTTTATGTTTTTGAGTTTTACTCTCGGCACCGGCGGCCACGCCTCACAGCATGGAGGCAACAGCCATGCGGCTGGTTGTTTCTGATGAATTAGCCCCAGCCCCACCGCGTTTGGTTCGTTGCTTCTGTGCTCCCGGTGTTGGGCTTCCTAGGCAAGCACCAGGGGCAACAGGAACAGACCGGCCGGGTAGCTGCAGCTGATTAGTGTGAGAAACGATAAAAAAGCCTTTTGGCTGTCGAGCTGTAGGTGCTCGCTATAGGCGGAAGCTGTAGAGCTTAGGCTCTAGAACATCACCAAACAGCTGTAGAGATTCAGCTCTAGCGATTGAGCTCTACAGGTTTTTGAGCTCTAGAGGCGTTCGCCCTAATCGTTATCAATCTTTTTTCGCAGGAGCGTGGTGATTCACCAAGGAAAATTAGGAAAAAAAAGGTCATCTCTAGAGATTTGATCCTTCTTGGCCCAGGTTTGAGCCTAGTCTGCACCACAGTAGCATGCAGATTTCAGAAATAAAGCAAGTAGCCTTCTTTGAGCCTTGTTCGGTTCCAGGTTTGGCTCTAGTTGCTGCAAGTACTATAGTTCTCTTGGCTACTTGATGGCGAGCCAGCGCGGCTCTGCTCGTGGTCGTGGCGCGGGTCAGTAGTTCTCAAGTTGGGCAGGCCCCTAGCGCATGACCAGTGTTCAAAAACGTTCAAAAACGCTGGGATTTTTTTATTTTTGAAATTTTTTTGAGGCGGCAAGCGCGCCGAGACGGAAAGAAAGATTGCTCGGTGGCTGAAGCGGAGGGTTAGCGCCGAGCCATGAGAATGCCCGGCGGAGTTTGTGCTCGTCTTCGCTCTCGGACGAAGAGCAAGAAAGCACTTGGGTGAGGCCTAGTTGCCAACATGTGTCAGCTCTGATCATCACACACAAACCACCCTCCCACCCTGTCCTATGCAATGCAAAGCTCTTCACGCAACTTCTCTTCACTCATATTCAAAAGCATCAAGCCCGACGCAAGTCCGCAAACGCCTTTTGGAAAAAGCCGCCGCATGCGGTCGGCGGCGAGCTGCCGCAGCGCCCGTATGTAAAGCGTGCCGGCACTGGCGCACATGTTTCAGCAACATGACCCCTGCGACCAGATTCGCCGCTATTGCTATGGCAGATTGCTGACAATTTCCAAAACACGAGAAGCCCGAGCAGAAGGCCCCCGGGCCAGAATCAGCCAGGCCAGGCACCGCGGCTGGCCAGCAAGCTGCAAAAAAACCAAATCCGAAACCGCGACACAAATGTGCTATTTTGATGTCCGTTTCCCAAGCCGGTTCCGGATCCCCTGTTCGGGTCCCCTGTTCTGATCCCCTGTTCTGATCCCCTGTTCTGATCCCTTGTTTTGATCCCCTGTTCTGATCCCCTGTTCTGATCCAATTTCAAATAGAAAATGGATCAGAACCGGGGATCCGAACAGGGGATCGGCGCGGAGATGAGAACTCGGACAGCGAAGATTTGCAATCCGGCGTCAGCGGAGATTTGCAAGCCCGCGTCGGGTATACCATCGGGCGGCGAAGTAGTAGACCCAGACGGAACAAAAAAAAGGAACAATCTACAACACACGAAAAACAGCTCTTGCCCCCCCGCGGAGTACAGGCAATTTCGCTGCGCCAGTCCCAAACTGGGACCGCGAGTGAGGGCTGGCGCGGACGAAAGCCGGCGGCCCTGTCGTGTGGCACCGTCGCAACGTTCTTTTCATGCAGACGCGCAGCAGAGAGATCTGACACAAAAACTCCACTGGCGCGCCTTGTAGTATGGCGCGGCCTGGAAACACGCCGCAGCGCAGACAGTAGCCAAACTCCGGGCCGTTTCAGGCCAGGCCCAGCGGCTTCGCCCGGCGAGGCTGGTGTTGTTTTGTAGTGGCCAGGCTCAAGCCCTGAACAGTGTGCCGGCTTTTCTCCTGTTACAGTTTCTTTGCGCCGGCTGCGAGGCAGTAGCCCCAAACCCACTCTTCAAGACGAATTCGCCCCCGCTCTAAACCATATGCCACTGCACTCCCCACCGTCGGCTCTCAACTTCCTCGGACGGCCACTGCTCCGGGTATGGAATCATTGGAAAAAAAATTTTTTAATTCAAAAAAAATCCCAGCGATTTTGAGTACTTTTGACCCTAGGTCAGCGCGGCTCTGCTCGTGGTCGTGGTGCGGGTCAGTAGTTCTTACTCGCATTCTTGTTCCTGCAGTAGATAAGTCATCTACTTCTTCGCCTACCACTTCCTTGTGCTGGGACGTCGACATCTTCAAGGGTGTCGCAGCGAGCGAAGTTTCGCCGCCAATGCAGTCAACGGAGCTTCGAGCGCCGGAGCTACGATTTTTACGAATGCAACTCTTCAGAACAAGTGCGGATCGTTTTACACCGTGATGTTCGCCGCGCAAAGTCGTCGTGTTCATCTGCCTCGCATTATTTTCACCACCAAGAATGTTGTAGATCCCCTGATTATGCAGCAGAGTAGCTAAACTACCACTCCCGCTAGAATATCCTCCTACTGTCTCCGAAACTTCTCCTTCTCCGCCCGGCCTCGTGGACGAAGCTTCCGTAGTTGATGTCGCTGGCAGCAGTAATATATGATCTCGGTAGTTTCTCTTGGTGTCAGAGTCTAAATCGCACTGTAGATCATGAACAACTTCAACGCTGGGACCCATGCCTAACGTGCTTTGTTCAAAACCTCCAGCTAGGAAGCTCATGGTGGTCCCGGGGGACGACGTCGATGTCGTCCCCGACAAGGACCTCGTCCCCCCCGTAGAAGTGGAATTATGTTGTCCACGGCTCAAATAAGGATGATGAAGGTGAGATGCTGGCCGCGGTGGATCTTCCTTTATTCGCGTCGTCGAGAGAGCGCAGCTAGAGCTTGAGCTACTGCTGCTGGGCAGCTCCAGCTGCTGCACTGGTCGTGTTCTTTGGTACAAAAATGTCGTCGAGACATCAGATGAGGGTCTTCCACGCTGGGGCGGTTGCTCGGCTTGCAGGAACTGCGCAGGGGCTTCTTGCTGCAAAAAATCAGTCGCTCCTTTTTCGACGTAGTGGAAGTTGTTACAGCTACCTAACCGGCCGCGATAATCAGGCTGATCAAAAAACCATGGTGCCGGTGCGGGTTCCCCCACCGCAGGAGCCGCTGCACTAGAGATAGTTGGTAAAAATTGGAATTCGGTATGATAATGATGCTGCTCGTCAGAAGTTGAAGTTCTTGCTGCGTAAGGTGGATCTACTTCAGCTTCTTCGTCCCATTTCCGTTTGGTTCTACTTGTTCCGCCAGTCTCTTCATCAGTGGTTGTTTTCTTTCCACTTGCCGAGGCAGCTGCCGTAGCTGCACTGGGAGAAACTATTTCGTGGACCGCAAGAAACCGGAGGAGGAAGAGGCCGGTCAGCGCTTTTCGCGTAAAAATTCGTTCTCTTTCCATCATTTTTCTGTTCGATATTTTATTTTTCCGAATGATCTTCTCTTGAGTTTCTCTTCATCTTGTGTTAGATATTACTCTCTCTTTTTGTTAGTGATAATTTTGGTAGATACGATATAGAAAAATTTTGTACTAAACACATACGAAGCTACTTCGGGATGAGTTGCACTTGCAACAGCAATAAAAAGTACCACAATGGTCATAAATGATTTTTGTTTTTTTAAGCGGAACAAAGGAGCTAACAGCTACAAGCGAATGCTTCTCCTTGACATTGTCCTGAAAAGGAAGACGAGGAAACAAATCATATACGAAAAGGAGATCAGAAGTTGAGTACGGCTGCACAACAAGACCGCGCTGCTCATCAGACAATCGTGTGCTGTGCATTCTTCTTCTTGTTCATCTCTAGGTCACTAGAGTCCTCGCACAAGATCTTCGCATACACGAAAAAAAGACCAACAACTGAGCAAATGCAAAGACCACTGCTCATCCGGGGTACTAGATGTGGAACTACCGAGGATATCTTGTTTTCGCATCGCTGCGCTATAATGATCTGCATCGCCGCATCGACTCACCTCTGATTGTAGTCCCCACACAAGAAGTGCGCGCGAAGAACAAGTCGCACGGATGTTGATGGGTCTCGTGCTTTCAAAATGAAACTCGCTGTCATGATCATCTCCGTCGAGTTCAAGCAGGTGCCTTGTCTTGATCATAACTCATCACATTCACATCTGGACGAATTCATCTGTGTCTCGCTGCAGCTCTTCCTCTACTTCACTATGCCATCGCATACGCGGTCGCTACTCGCGTGAAGGGATCTCTGACCTCCGCGTACACACGCGTGAAGGGGTCCTCGATCAGAAACTCTTGCACAAACGGCTTCTTCAGAACGATATTGTCGTGGCTACCTTCATCCTGCTGCTGCAGAAGAAAATGATCCTCCGCGGCCGTGTGGCTCATCCCGCTTGTTCCTGGGGTAGTACCGGCGCCGGCTGTCGTAGTATAATTTCCAGCGCTCTGAGAAGCCATATGCTGCAGCCCACTCGCTGTTGAATCGACGCTGCGAGATCTGTTCTTCCGAAAGAAGCAACTTGCCAGTATCTTCCTTGCGAAAACATCCTTTCTCGGGTCGAGATCCTTTGCCAATCGCTGCGGATTCTGGAGGATTTGCTCGATTAAGTGCTTCTTGGCCAGTTGCTCGGCGGAATTTTTGCTGGTGTTGTTTCGAGCTGCGTGATCATTATATCCACCTCCAGCGCTGCCATTCGTCGTCGCTGTTTTGATGTTGCTCAAAGATGAATCGTTAATATTCCCTCCTGTACTACTTGAGGAAAAGACGTTGTCCAGCGCTACGCACAATTCCAGATGGAATGAGAAGCTGTCGAGCAACGCCAGCAGAGGTTCCAAATCGCGGTGGCTCGGAACGGGATTTGTGCCTGAGTCGGCCCAGGAACCGTCTGGAAAGGGGTCGTCGTCGTCATCATGGAGGTCACCTTCGGTGTAGTTGTTATATGAGTCGTTGTTTATTTTTCTCTTCTCGTCGGATTCATCATGATGCTCTCTTGCTCTTGCACCGGAGGAAGACAACGGGCCTTGAACTTCCTTGCTGGAGATAGTCGGCAAAAACTCCGCAATGTTCTTCATCTGAGCAGTCCTCGTGCTGGTCTTCTGCGCACTGTTACTTCCAAGTGAAGATGATGCAGTTGCACCTGCTGATGATGTCCCGCGGTTTTTCTTGGAGGGGGGCGACACGATCCCGAGCATTGGCTGGGTGGGTCGAGTTTGAGTTTCTGTGGGCGACGACACAGCGGCAGGAGAACTCTTCTCAAGAACACCTCGTCCAGGAGCTGCATCAACATCAAACGGGTTCTCTATGTCGTCCAGCTGCATTGCGAGACTGTCTTTCACTTTCGCATCAGGAGCAACAGCTGTACCAACATCAATATTCTCCGTTTCCCTTTCTACTTGCTGCTCGTTTTGGAGGTTACTTTCCTCCTCCGAACTGACAGACGCAAAGGACGCGGTGTCCTCCAAGTCCTCAATTTCGTTATCATTATCTTCCCCCATGCGCATGCTGAGAAGCCTTTGCTTTTTCCATTCCTGCTTTGCGGTCTCGAAGATTGATTGCAGTAGTTCGTTCAAGGGTTGAAGAAATTTTTCCAAAAAGAAATCTTCGTAGAGCAAGATCAGGCGAAGGTGCTTTTGCACCAGATCCTTCACCAAAACCTGCACGACGACATGAAACAACTGCGACCAGAGCTCCCGCGTGTGCACGTTCTCGAGGTATCCCGTGCAAAAGTATCGCACTCGTAACCATTATCGCAGCCATGCATTACAAATCTCCATCCCAAGGTAAAACAGCATGACAAATTCCATTTGTCATGCTGGAAAAATTTGTGATGCGATTTCTACTAGTACGATGATTTTGCAATGCATACGAGGTAGTGCAACGACATTTCCGCGTCCTTTTCCGGATCAAAAATCGCCGGATCGATTAAGTTTTCGATGAAAGTCGGAATCTTTGTCGACGATGTACTAGGAGCAATAAATCCACCTCCTCCTGTTCGCGAGGAAGTAGAAGACGATTTGCCATTTTGCTGTGTAGTTTCGACCGGTGCAGTGGCCCCCGCGTCGGTAGAAGTTTTTGACACCACTACCCTCGAACTGCTCGGACTGCTGTCCTGGGAGCTATTGATAACCTCCCCACTATTGCTGTTCTTTCCACCAGGAGCACCAGCAGCTTCTTTCTCCATCATAAAACTTTCAGGTTTTTTCATCGACACCAACCCGTGCTGAATCTTCGCACTATTCGCCGTTTGAATCGCTTGCTTCAAGTGCTCCGATGCCGCTTTATCCTCCGCTAAATCGGGGTCGGAACTGTTTGTGCTGAGAGTTGTGCTTTGTGGATGCGCAACCAGATGGTCCAGATTCTCTGGTTCCTGCGGAAAATTGTAAATCGGTAAAGGACATTCCTGCTCGCACAAGACTTCCGCGAAAACACCTTTTAACAGCGCCAACTCCTGGTCGTCGAAGAAGTCACAGATGCCAGTGTACCACTTCACAAAGTCCTCCTGGTTCGGACTGGTCTGTGATTTCGTCTTCGCAGCAAAGTTCATCAGAAATTGCTCACAGTCCAGCTTCGGCACTTGCTGTTGCAGCCTCACGAGTAGCGCGAGATTCTCCCTTTGCCTCCGGCTCAACTTATTTGCAGGCTTTTTAGCAGGAAAACTTAGCTTGTAGTTCCGAGACGCGCCCGCTGTGCTGCTTGATGAAGTTCCTTTGGTGATCATATCAGTCCTTTGCGAAGGAATCGGAGTCGCTGCTTTCGTTGTTTTCGCCCGGGCGATTTTCGCTTTTTCTAACAAAGGCCCCAGCGCCTGCTTCTTCCGGCCGAGCGTGTCCTCCGCAATCAGGGGGGCTATGGCGATGGGGATGTCGGTGGATTTTTTTACTGGAAATTGCTGTTCTGGGGCTGCAGTTCGCTTATTCATTCGCTTGATGCTCGTTGAACTACTAGACCTGGTCGAGGAGCTACCTCTGTCGTGCTTGTTTCTCGCGGTGGAAGCTCCAGAGGTAGCGTTCACTATTCCGGACGAGGTAGTACTACTACTGTGCGAAAAGAATGCAGTTTCCAAAATCCCGCCCTCGATTTTCGTTTTCGAACGATTTTGGTGTTCTGGGGTCGTGGTTCTCGTCGTTGCGGTTTGTTTCTTGTCTCCGCTTCTTGTTCCTTCCGGTAGCTGCAACCCGCCGCCGCCGGGGGGCACATTGTCATGCTGCACATGGACGATGCCAGAACTCGCGGACGACGGCGGCTGATGCTGGTCACTTCTCTCGCTGACGGGAGGAGAGTAATTTGTTTCCTCCCGTCCGGGTGTTGTATCGGGCGCAGTCGTGCTGGACATTGGCGTATTCAGTCCTGTCTGTATTCCATTTAATATGGCTCCTCCGGCACCAGTTGTCGTGCCACTTGAACTTGACGTAGCTGACAAGTTCCGGATGAATTCCACGGAGTCTTCCAGTCCCCTCCTGTTCGAAGCTGATTTTTCCGCTTCAATGCAGTAGAAAACGACGTGAAACTTTTGGTAGAGCAAGCAATTCTGGAAATCGGTCACATTTGCCCTTCGCAAGCCCAAGTCCGCGAGAGCGCGGCGCTTCCGTTTCGCTGTGAGCTTCGCTTCAGCTGCTGCGTCTTCATCTATTTCCAACGTCGGTGGAGATATTCTTTGTCCAAGATCATTAGTGACAAACCAGGGCTGCGAAAATTGCTGCTGCTCGGAACCAAGAGCACCTGCCGCTCCTCCCACTCCAGCCCCCGGCTGCGCATCTGCTGCAGCTTTCGACGCGACAGCGCTGGCCCCGTTGAGGAGTCGTTCGTTCCAGATATCCTGTGCAAAAACGTCCCCACCCCAGAGTCAAGATGGGGATTTTGCAACACACATCGAGAAGTTTTGGGGGTCCAGCATGACAAGTTCGTCGAGGTATTGTAGTGCAGTTTAGCAAGCACAGCCGCAACACAAATCCATCTACTCATCCTGTCGACAGCATTGCAAAGCGCAAAACGTGATTGGAAATGCCTCTCATGTGTATGCGCATTACAAATCTTCCTGTAGCTGCAAATCTGCATGACAACTCTGGGGTGGGTACATTTTTGCTCAGGATACCAGAAAAGCCGTATTCTCTGCACTAATTTGAAGTACATGGTGCAGATGGCGCGGATATCCTGCGCAAAAGTATCGTACTCGTATTCGTATTGCAGTCATGCATATACAAATCTTGTTCCGAAGGTAAATCAGCATTGCAAATTTCATTTCTCATGCTGAGGAGATTTGTAATGCATTTATACGAGTACGATACTTTTGCAATGCATAACGGAAATTCAAAACCCCCTTCCGGACCACAATCTCCTCTAACAAAGTGGAGAGAATCGCCGGCGCGCCCTTCAAACTAGTCTGCGTAATCTTGTGCAGGTCGTTCAAGGTACGGAGAGTGCTGGTGAAAGAGCGAGTGCTGGTTGATGTTGACACCATATTCGCTCCTCTTGTTGTCGCAGATGGAGGTGCACTTCCACTTCGTTCAGCTCTATTTTCAAAAGGTGAATTGCTTTTACTTCTGCTCTTTTCAAGCAAATTATCTTTATCAACATCTGCCTCGATACACAGTCCCCCAAGGGTCGACTCTAATGCGTCGACGAAACTCCTGTAGCTGTGTCCCTCCCAGTCCTCCAGGATTTCCGTTTTTTCCGATTCGCGGAAGTTGTGGTTTTCCTGGGACACGATGCGTCGGGTGTCGATACACTGTGACTCATACTGGTGAAACAATTCCATGACCTGGTCATACACGATAGCATCCGTGTTGGACCTTATCCGCGTGAAACAGGAGTCCAAAATCTTCAGCTGCTCGTTCTCCGAGGGTAAAATGAAATCCTGGTACGCGTTGGCGAGATGCAATCCTAACGCGGTTAACCCAAAGCCCGTTTGCTGCTCGGTGTTCTGGTTCTTCAGTCTCTGTCCGCTAGCGGTCGACCCAGTGGTCGTACCGAGAAACTGGGTGAGGGATTCTGTGTCCGAGGTTTCCGATTCGAAATCCAGGAAGTACTCGATGTGCTCTCGGATCCAACTTCGCCGTTTCTCCGCCTCCGTGCACGTCACTCGGAACTGCCAAACTTGGGCTTTGTACGGGTTCAGAAAATCCTCTTCCTCGTCGTCGGTGTTGGGAGGGTGTTGCTGTTGCTGTTGAGATCTGCTCAAATTTGAGGGCACAGAAGACGCGACGGACGGTCTCTGCTCTTTTGTGTCATCTTGGTTCGTTCTCGTCGCTGCCGGGAGGGACGATGGCGGCGGAGGCGGGGGTGGAGGTGGTGGTGGGGCAGGTTTATTTGGCGAAAAATCTGCCGGTGGTGCTGTAAGTGTAACTGTTTCAGCAGGATCACTCCCTTTGCTCGAAGTGGTTTTTGACGTAGTTTCTTTTTCCAGCAGGTGGTTTGCTAAGCCCCGGTCTGGATCCTGCTCATCTACTCTGTCCGTGGTTAATATTCCGGGCACTGGTGCTACGGGTAAGTCTTCACCGCCTGGAACCACAGCAGGACCAGCGGCAGGTGATTTCTGAGGCGAGGAACCCGGCTCCTCCTGCTCCTGCGCGGCCGTAGATGAGGACAGCACTAGCTCTACTTCATCTTCCTCATCATACATGCCCGTGGTGCCAAAGTAGTCCCCCTTCGAAAACGGTCCCCAGAGGCAGAACAACTGCATCAATTCCAAAGTTTTCCCCACAATTGGGTCATAGTTCATGGCGTCGAACTCTTCGCAGAGGTATATGGCGTTCTCAACTGTTACATTCTCAACTGTTACATGATTTGTCATGCGGAACTACCTTAAGCCGACAGATAATCAAGCTGCTTCGCATGACAAATTTCCGAAGGACTCAACAGCGCCTAAATCTGTGCCAAATCTGTGATGCGAAAGCAGCAAGCTAGCCCCTTTTACTGTTGCCATTCTTGCATCACGAATTCATGTAAGTAACAGTTGAGAATGTAACAGTTGAGAGCGCCATAAGGTACACAAACCGGGCGCGAATCTGCGGGCCGTGCTGGACGCGGACTAATTCCCTTGGGGTAAGAGATTTGGAGGTCTTCCCTGTATAGTTTTCAACTGGTTGCTGCAGTTGCGGGAACATAAATGCAGCAGTAGATGAAGATGCAACCGTAGCTGCACCAGAAACATCCGTACGAGAACAAGCGTGAAAGAGCTCTGTCAAATGCTCCGCCTTCGTCCAAGTGCAGTCCTTTCTGTACTTCAAATTGACCTCCCTCGGCACCTTATTTCTCAAACTTTCCCAGAAGATCAGCAATCCGGGTAGGTCCTTCAGTAGCGGGTCTACGTGTCTACTCGACCGCGCGCAGGAGAGAAAATTCCGACGCAAAGCCGTCTTCTTGTCGGGGAGAAGGAAGAACCCCTCGCCGATCGTTTTGCCATTTACCCCCTCATATGCATCGCAATTATGTCTGGGTCTGGAAGGTTGCAACTTGTGATGCTATCTTTGGACCCGCGAAGCATTTGTATGCAAGAGGAGTCCAGTCTGTGCTATGCGGAGAAGGCATTTCTCATGCGGAAAAGGCATCAGAAAGCCCTCTGAAATTCTGTGATGCTAGGTCATTCATTACAGGCGTCATGGGTCCTCGTGCCCAATATGCATGACAAAGCTGACAATCTTCCAGACCCAGACATATTTGCAATCCATACCTCACCCGGGTTTTGGTTCACAAAACAGGGGATGTCCAGGGCAGTGTCGGAGAAAGAAGAAGTAGTAGGGACTGCAATAGTCGTAGTTCCTGATGCGGGTGATGTTGAAGAAGATGTAGATGTTCTTGTTCTACCCGCTTTAATATTATTCTTATTCAGTGCTTTCGCCCCGGGGCCACGACTACTCGACGCAGCTAGTTGTACTGCACCCCTTGCCTTCCTCCCGCACTCCAGGCTCTTGAACCCGGCGGTCGGAAACGCCGCTCGCACCGCAATATGAAAGCCTCAGAATGGAAATCCTCAAAGTGGAAATGATTTGTGATGCATGAAATGCGACGCAAAAAAGACTGTATTGCAGAGAACGCAATGGAGGCTGACTATTGTCCTGCTAGGGGTCAAGAATTGGAGTGCTGCTTAGCACGACAGAAGGGCCCCCCCTTGCCTTGAGCTGCATGACAGACACGCTTTAAGTGCCCGGGAAATTTGTCATGCGCCGACTACAAATGCCACTTCAACTGGAATCGTTTTTTTGCATTACAAATCATTTCCACTTTCAGGATTTCAAACCTGAGGCGTTCATACGCAATCAGCATCGCGGACAGGAGAAAGTTCGCGGAGTCGTTTGAAATTTCCTGCGACTCCCTCTATGGATTGCAAAAGTGTCTGGGTCTGGAAGATAATTCTGAGACTTGTCATGCATATTTTGCATGACCCAGGATGTCTGTAATGCACGCCCTAGCATCACAGATTTTTAGAGGGCTTGCTGATGCCTACTCCGCATGACAAACGCCCTCCCCGCCGCGTAGCACAAACTAGACTCCTCTTGCTGGTCATGCAATACAAATTTTTTTGGACTCCAAAGTTAGCATCACAAGTTCCAACCTTCCAGACCCAGACATTTTTGCATTTGGTACCCGCTCCCGGGTCACCATGATGAACTGCCGGACGCCGAATCTCCGGGTATTCGGGTGGCACTTTACGGGAAATTTTTGCTCCTGCGCGAGTAGGTCCGCGAGCTCTTTCAGGACCGGTGGAAAGGCGGGGGCAGTTGATGTTGCGCTAGAGCTAGCAGCGATTATACCAGTGGACGACTTAGCAGCGCCTGTCGTTGTGGGCCCGCCGCCAACAACAAGACGAAGACCACCACCACCACCAGCTATATGATTCGTAAACCGATGAAACAGCTCATCCGTCACGTTCAGCGGTACCGGGCGGCCGTAGTACACATGTAGGTGGTATTTCATGTTGTTGAACCGAAATCTCGCGATCATCCGGCCCTGCGACGACTTGTGCTCGCTGTAAAACTGCAGCGCTTGCTGGAATTGCAGGGTCAAAGCTTTAAACTCCTTTTCCTGGTGGTCGATTAGAACTGAAGCCGCGGGCGATGGAAGATTTTGATTTGTTTTCGCGATGTTTGCTGATGTTTTCCCGCCAGCGGCACTAAAAGTTCCGCCACTATTTCTCCGCATCTGCTCCAACAATTTCAAACACTGTGCGGTATCCCGGCAATCTACCACGGACGTCAAACATCCCGAGGTAGATTTGAAGTGGCTGCTCCAGCCTTTCACGATCAGTTGCAGCTCCCGAGAGAGTTTTTCCAGCGGCGACACGGCGGTGAAATCCCGGATTTCAAAAACATCGTTTAAATGGTCTTCGGAAGTGGTAGACTCACCTGAATCGTGGTCGGAAAGCGGCTGCTGGGTCAGTTTTATTTGCCCATCAAGCAGAGGGTGGTGATCCGGTGCCCCTGTGGGAGACCCAGATTGAGATAGTTGCTGCAACTGCTGCTGCTGACTGTCTCCATCTGAAATCTGCCCGAGTCCGACAGCACTACCACCAGTAGGAAACTGCTTCGAGGACTCTCTGGAGGCCGAAGCACTGGTAGTACCTCCTGGGCCTTTGGCTGGTGCGCCACCAGTTCTACTGCCCCTGTCCGCCGAGCGCTGTTTCTGAAACAATTCCTCTTGCTCGCGCTCTTCTCGCTCCTGCTGGAGCAGCAGCTCCTCGTCTTCCAGCGCAGTTGTGGTTTCGTCGATGACATGTTCGGTGCGGTCCACAAGGATCGGCCCCTCGTCATCGTCCCCGCCGAGGCGGGGATTGCCGGTGGACGTGCTTGATGTGGGGTTGCGCATCTGGCGGATAATCGTCGAGAGCAGTCAGCTACACTTTGGGACCACTTGTGTACAACTCTTCAAGACGGACTTCTTGCGGAGACCACGTGGACATTTTTTCACTTTTACTACTACGCCGCGCGCTCCATGTTTGTGTCCCGTCCTGGTAAACAAATGCGTAGCGCTGAGTACTACTCACATCATCGAAAGCGATAGCCATCCAAGGTACTCGTACTAGCAGCTCTCTTCGTATGGGTATAATCATTCAAACAGGCTACCAGTAGAGACGACACATTGGTTTCTGATCCTGAGCAGGGTGCTTCTAACACAGTAAAGCGACGTCACTATGTAGAAGTGATTTTCTCTGCGAAAAAAGCGAAGCGCAGGCGAGTTGGTATTAATGACAAGAGCGTGTCGTTTTTCGGATCTTCATCTTCTTTCACTGCCAAGTTTTGATATATCGAACACCCTTTTTCACCAGCTATGCTTAGCGGCTTGCATTGCTATCTTTGGTCGCGCGAAGGTCGCGGCTCTACTTTGTTTTTTTGTTTCGATAAAGGAATTTTTTTTGCTTTAGCACATCGACAATGAATTCTTTAGCTGTCAACCCGAATTGATGTTTTATTCCGATTCATTCCCTACCCCGCAGACTAACGCGACGTAAGCACAAGAATCAGTGAGAGATGAAGAACTTCTACCATACTAACAGACCACAGAGAACTAAGAAATCAGATGAAAAATTGTCACAGCTTGTTCCTGGCAACTACATCTTCGAACTGGTGCGCCAGATAAATGTTGTAGCTGCACAGGGTGCTGACAGTAGTACTTACCTCAAAAATAGCAGGTGAAAAAATGTTCTTGTGATAGGAAATTAAGTGGTTTTCGCCTTCCCTCGTCGTTCTTTCGGAGAACCTCCTCACATGACCGGGTTGCTTCCGAAGAACATCTGCACGCGCTGCATGATCGGGTCCTTATGGATCTGTCAGGATTGAAATCGTCAAAGTTGTAATGATTTGTCATGCATAAAATGCAAGGCATGAAGTGCCTGTCTTGCCGGGAAGGCAAGCGAGGCAGATTGTGAGCCTATTTAGGGTTTGGGATAGAGCTTCTGAACAAGCATGACAAAAGCAGTCTTCTGTGCCCAAACAGCATGACAAATTGGATTCCGGTACTCCGAAAATTTGTCATGCGCCGCTTGGAAATTGGGCTTCCAACCGGTATCGATTTTATGCGTGCCAAACTATTTTAACTTTGACGATTTCAAACCTGACGCTTCCATAGTCCTTCTTTGGGTCGTAAGCGACGTCCTTGGTCGGCATCTCCAGCACCGCGGGGATCACCTGCCCGCTGCGGGCAAAATCGTCGACGACGTTTCGGATCTTTCCCGCCTCCGTCTGGGAGATCAGGATCACGGCGAGATCCTTCCGCGTCGTCCACTCCTGAAACTGCTCGGCGATCTGAGGTTTTTGTTTCGAATGAAAATGAAGTGGCATCCGCATCGATTCTATGACTATGTCATTCAGATTGTGCTGCATCACAAGTTTAGTCGTACTTGGTATCGTCGTATTAAAACATTGTCTCTATTATACCTCGTGATTCCGCGTTGCGCCGTCGACGACCATGAAATTCTTCTTCCCCTGCCCATCGACCATGCCACCACCGCCCAAGACTAGAATATGGAAGCGAAGTCTTGAGTCCTCGGACTACTACACACAAATTGTTCTTGTTCAGGAATGCCTTTTTTCTGCAGGTGCAACTCTAAATCATCTTCAACAAACGCGTGTCATGCTTATGCAATAGAGATACAAACTTTGCGGCCGGAACTCAAGAAGTTTTCTTTCTCGTACAACCCGGTCACGGTTTGTTCATCTCCGATAATGGCGACCTTGAGGTCGGAGAGGGTTTTCATGCGCTTCTTGCCCATTTTGGAGAGGGGTGCTTGTTAGGTTATTACGGTTGTGCCTCGCTTGCGAACTAAACAGCTCTGATTTCCTATCTAATTGCTAGCTTGCTTCACTCGGTCGCGGTAGATACACAGGCAGGACAGGGAGTTGGAGCTGCGTCAGCATCAGCATGAGAAAAAAACTGAACCTCACAGCAAGGACCGACAACCAAGAAGAAAAAGCTGGCGACACGACGCAAACGCAAAAAACGCTGTGCAAATATTGTGACGAAAGGCAGAGATGAGCTCTGGATGGTTTATATCGGAGAAGAACAGACACACTCACACTCCCTGCGTCATGGCCTGAAATGCCCAACGCAAAGGAACACCGCCACCACTCGCGTCGTGCACGCGCTTTCTTGTATATTCTTTTAAGCCCCTTGCTCGGGCTAGCGCTGCGCGCTAGGGGCAAGCGAACTCCGGCCCTGCCGGCGTGCCGGCTTCCGTAGCTCGCCCCCCCCCCCCCCGCTGCGGTTCTATCTGGTGCCGCGGCAAGCAGGGTGGAACGAAGGAAGAGTGCGGCCATAGGCATTGCGAGAGCAGCGAAACCGGGGGGCGGGCGGCGCCAACATTCGGGCCGAGGAGCTGCGCCGCCCAACGCTTGCCAACAAAGCCGGCGCCCGCGGCCTGCGCATGCAAATGGTGGGCAAGGCGCACCGGCGCGCCGCCGTCCGTGCCAAAGGGCGGGGCTAGCCGGCGGCAGCACAGAAAACCCAACGCCACAATCAACGCCCCCAGAAGCTGCAACCACGGCGGGCGGGCAAGCAGGGCCCGCGAAATGCCCCAAGGGGAGCGGATTCACGGACTCCGAAGCGAAGCGCGGCCCCGGCCTTGGTGGCAATTGGCAAAACCCAAACAGGCAGGCAGCGCAAGCCGCGCCGGCCGACCCAGAGCGAGCGAGGGGCCGGCGGGCCGGCCATGCGTTGCTTAGAATGCCGGGCGGGCAGAAAGCAAGGCGGGCGCCGCGTGGTTGCAGTAGATCTTGATCGGTTGGCCGGGGGGCGGCATGGGCAAGGCGGGCGGCGGCCCGTCACTCTTCTCAGACGCGGCCAACTGCCCCCGACCCAGGGCGGCACTCGTCAGCTGGATAGGGGTTCCCCCCTGCCTTCGCCGCCACTGCCCCGGGGCCCCGGCCGCTCCTTTCCGCGCCACCTCCAAAGGCCCAAGCCCGCGCGCCGGCCGGAGGGAGAAACGACACGACCGGCGCCGCCCAATAAAGGGGCCCGCCTTACGTTCATCGCCATGGCTTTCTCCCCCGCCTCGAAGGACACTTTCGCCGCCTGCACTGGGGGCGCGCGCCATCCGCCACGCACGCCGGCCAAAAAAAAGCCAAGCGCGCGCCAAAGCACCCGCAGGCCGGCCCCCGGACCCCGCGTCGCGGATTCCTGTCGGCGGCTAAGTCGGGCCGAGGGGAAACGCGAAGGGCCTTGGGCGCGAATGCGGCCGGGCCGCCTGATGCAAGTGTAGCACGCGGGCCAAGGGGATCGCCACCAGCTTCAGCAGCTGGGCGAGGCGGCCACAGCGCTTGGCCATGGCTACTAGCTTGCGCCCCGCGACATGGCGAACGGCGCCCCCGCTCTTTTTGCCCCGGCCTGGACTGCCGCCGCGCTCTGTAGGCGGGTCTTGGATCCGGTCGGCCCATGATGCCCGAAGGCCGCGCGCCCTGCTGCACTTGCGGGCGCGGGCGGAACGTGTCGCCCTGGCCTACTCCCTGAGACGTCGGATGATGGTAGGAGTAGCTCGCACTGCGCATCAGATGGTAAAGCGCCAGCAAGGTAAGTGGCAGAACATCAGACGACCACAGCAACGGCTTCGATGGCACAGGCTTCCAAGTCAGCCATAGCGATTTGCGTTTCTACAGCGTGTTCTTGTTGCTTTAGCTCTCCCTTGTACGTGTAGCACAACGAAAAAACTATCGCCTTTGAGTGGCTGTAGAAGTGATTCAATGTAGCGTCCGGACCGTCGTGGTTGATTCGAGCTCCTACACACAGCATCAAGCCGCAATCGCAGTTCTACCAACATTCACGACTATCGTAGAAGCTTGCACTGACTATTCTTCGCCTGCTGAGCACGATGCCACTAGGTAGAGTTTTCATGATCAGTCGCGTTGATCGCTAATCATCGATCCACCAGTCCCTTCTCGATCACTCATCATTCTACTTCTTCAGCTCCTTGTCACAAAAAACGATCAGGGACTCTCCCCTACCGCAAGATGGAGCAATAAACAGCCCCCTTCCACTAGCCTCGGCTTTCAGTAGGCGTAGCACTTCTACCACGGAAAATGACCCCCGGGGGCTCCTCTACTCAACATGATCCCACAGGAGCACCATCACCACCGTGCGCTCTATCCCAGCCGCCGGGTAGTTTGCCGCGATTATGAACACCACCTCCTCCTCCCCGCTCAAGAACTTGTTACTCTTCGTCGTCGCTGGACAGATCCTGTAGCAAAACCTGCGCGTTGGGCACCAGCCCGGCGTCCTTCAGGCTTTCGTCGCTGCGCTGAAGCAACTTCGTGGGGAAGGACGTATTGAGGGAGAACTTGCTCGGGACTTTGATACTTGTCCCCGTTTCGGCGTACTCTGCCGCCTCGACCCAGTTGAAGAGGTCCTTCAGTGTGTGGGACTGGAGGAACGTACGGTTGACCTGATAGCAATTTGCATTGTGGATGATGCATCAGACATTGCTACCGAGTTTCAGAAGTTTGTCATGCAACGAAAACAACGGAATGCAATTTGTCATGTTGCAACAGACAAAGCCTGATTTCTTTCCACTTCGCCTAGCATGCTGGTACCGCATGACGACGTTGACCCAAGTGGTGAAAATAGAAACAAATTCATTCCTAGTTTTAGTAAAGTAAAGATACCCTCTGCCCCGTCGGGAATTTCACTTGTATCTTCGTCTTGGCTTCCGTCGTGCTTGGGTCCACAGTGACAAGTTCGGTCGCCAGTTTTCTCCTTTTCGCCTCGATGTCTTTCGCCGCTTGCTCCCTGGCGAGCTGGGCCTGTTTTTCCTCTTCCAGCGCCTTCTGTCGGGCCTCCTCCTCCCGCTGCCGTGCGGCCTCGGCTTCGCGGTCCTGTGGAGGAGGTGATATGAAATTTATCAAGGAAGATTCTTTTCAGAAAAAAACTTGTGTTGCGCACTCGTGAGGAGCAGGAGGACAACGCTGTTGTATATGCATTGACAGTCTGCATGACAAACCAGCCACACTGTACCTTCGCCAAAGCCTCTTCATACTCCCTGTCTTGCTCGGCGCGCAGAAGCCTGTCGTGCTGAACTTGGTTCGCTTGCGTTACTAGCTGGGCCCGGTTTATGGATTGCTAATATGTCTGGGCCTGGAAAATTGTATATGCTAAAAATAATGATAGACGCACTGCAGTACGACATGATAACATGCATGACAATTTTTTTGGCTGCCATGTCTTACGTATTCCGCATGGCAAACTGCGCTTTTGCATGACAGGCCAGAGGGTTTTTTCGTGCCTATGCAACACAGATTCTCGAGTCATGCCAGACAAGCATGCCAGACAAGCATGCATTCTTCCAGACCTAGACACTTTTACACTTGATACGATTTTGCTCCAGGTCGTCGGCGGCTTGGGTCAAAAGCGCGACGAGGCCGTCAACTGATCCGGCTTGCTGTTTGGATACATGATTTGCATCACAAAATAATCAAAGTCGTATGAGCAGCACTGCATCTACTTCTTCTTTCAGCATAGCATGGCAAATCTATCGTCGCCACTTCTGTGTCTTCACTTTGTCATGCAACGTCACAAATAACTTCATTTTCATACCTGCCCGTCGACTTTGTGAAGTATCCTGTAGTCCGTTGCGGAGACGGGAAGCACCAGCGCCAGGTACGGGTAGCGTTGAACCTGAAAAGTCATGAAGTTTGTTTGTGTGATTCATGGTGCACATGAGTCGTGTAGCTTGTAAAAATCTGTTTACTTTCCTTCACGTTCATGATGTATCACGACTCGTTTTGCAGGCGGTCGTCAATTCTGGCATTTTTGTCATGCAGCCAAACACGACGACGTCCGCGTCCACAAGAACAAAACAAATACCTGAAACTGCCTTGCCAAGTCGTAACTGGTCCGGTCGTTTATGTCGGCCCCGAAGCTGACGCACGTGTCACTCAACATCACTGTCACGATGTCGTTGTTGAGACAGTTTTTGCAAAAGTCGTCGGTCAAACTTGCGGTTTCGCAGTGGAAGTAGACCATAAGGAGTTTCATGTTGTCCTTCGCTTTCGTTATTGCCTGCTGAAACGTTCCGTCGAAAAAGTCCGGGCAGGCGGTCGAAGCGTCCGTCTTGTATTGTCGCTCGTAGTATGCATTGCAAATATGTCTGGTTCTGGAAACTTGTAATGCTGGGTTGGGAATAGTGGATGCTCTGTAATGCACAGCCAAGCATGAGAAATATCTGCGCTGCTTAGTGTTGCGCTTTCCGCATGACAAACACAAACTGCGTTGTTGCATGACAAGTTGTACAAGGCGGGTCTCTTCTTTGACACGCATCACAAACTGTTCAGTCATGCCAGACAAGCATGACAAACAATCTGCCAGGCCCAGACACATTTGCATTTGATACGTAGTACGCTTTGAAACTGTTCCGGTTCGCTCTACCACTGCTGCTGCTGGAACTACTTCCGCCGGAGGTGTTGTTGTTATACCCGTCATCGTATCAAATGCAAAAGTGTCTGGGCCTGGAAGATTTCTAGATTTGTCATGCATATTTTCCATGGCTCATGATGTCTGTGATGCATGCCGTAGCATCACAGATTTTTAGAGCGCTTTGTGATGCCTCTACAGCATGAAAAATGACCGCTCTGCGTAGCACAAACTGGAGCCCTCTTGCTGGTCATGCAATACAAATTTTTTCAGAATCCAGAGACAGCATCACAAGTTTAGAATGTTCCAGACCCAGACATTTTTGCAGTTCATACTTCGTCCGGGATCAACATGGAGTGCAGAAACCCGCCGATGCCGTTGAGTACCTTGCTGGCGGCGTTGTATGAACTGCAAAAGTATCGTATTCGTATAAATGCATGACAAATTCCCTCAGCATGAGAAATAAAATTTGTAATGCTGTTTTCCCTTGAGAAAAAAGTTTGTAATGCATGATTGCAATACGAGTACGATACTTTTGCACAGGATACGTTGCCGACCTTCTCGACCACTTTTTGGGCGAGGGATGCGTCGGGGTCCTGGTTTGAGTTGTTTCTTTGTACTGAGCATATTGTATTGTTGTCTCTTGTAGTGTCGATTTACATTTACTTACTTTGAAGCACCGCACGGCGGGTTATAGAACAGCTGCACGACCCGATGTTGATCGCGCAAGACAGGTAGTATGTCCCATCCAACGATCTCCAACTAGAAGACAAGTAATCATGCATCTATCATCCTCAACAAAAAGAAGCTCTGCTCTACCCCCCCACTCGGCCTGGTCTGCTGTTGTGGTCCTATTGCCGGTTCGTGGTCGCCGGTTATGAAGTTCATGGCGGCCGCGTGGTCGGAGCCTGTTGCTGGTGTGTTGTCTAATGCGCCGGTCATGGACAAGTTGATGGCCTGTTCCACATTCCAGTTGCTCATCTCCAGGTACTGGATACATCGCTGTCGGTCCTCGTTCGCCGTCACCTCCCGGAACAGGGTGAGCTGCTCCTCCTGATCGGGGGTGAGGGTCGTGGTGGCAGCGTCCATTTGGGAGGGCTGGTTTTTGTTACTCCTGGGTGCTTGTCCCTCTGCTGGGTCTGGTGTTCTACTGACAATGTGAAGCTAACGCTTTTGTTGTGTTGTCGGGAAGGAGGAGGTGCTCTTTTGAATCCGCCGTATTGAAGACAAGATCCCAATGTCGTCGTGACAAAACAAGCAAGGGTCGTTTGCTGTGTCAGTAACGACGGTTCGGGAGGACCAGGAGATGTAGTTGAGACAGAGCAGGAAACGCAAACGAGCCTCTGTCTGCCGCGAACTCGTCCGCTCGACGCAACAAGTGCGTGGTTTGTAGTTTGTTTTATTGGGACAGCCCTGAGTGTGAATCTGTGCCGGTTGCGGTTGCGTTTGCTTTCCTCGTCGTCAAGTGCGAGAAAGTGTGGTAGTCCTTCTCGAGTTGTCTACTGCTTGATGTTCTTCGAGGTTATTGTAGGTCAGCGTGTTATAATTACTCTTGGTACTTCTGGCACCACGAGGACCAGTGCTACTAGCTGCAAAGCACTTTTTTTCGGGTCTCGGACGCAGACTCCTGCTCGGGCACCACTGTCATCTGAAAAAATTGGCCATCTTGTGTGTTGTGGTCTCTTCACTCGTCACGCTCGCATCAATCGTCCAGAGACATAAGGAGACTCGTCGTCCAATAGAAGTTTAGGTGTAGTTACGCAACAATCCAGCAACTTGGCCTGAGAGCTGGATATGGATCAAAATGTGCTCTATGACAAACTTCTCACTTACTGAGTTCTCAACCTCACGCTGGAAGTCGCTGGAGAGTTCGATTTGCTCCGATTTTCTACTTTCAAGGATAGCCGTCGCTGTAGCACATCAACTCGACCTTCATCTTCACCTTTGGGATAGGTAATCTTTGTTAGTACGCAAGAACGCTCTATTTGCCAGAAGAAGAATTTGAGTTTTTTAAGTGCCGCTTTCATCTCTCAATCTACAACACAAGGAGCTGCGTGTCCTTAGTGCGAGGACAGTTCTTGCTATACAATTGAAATCGCGGGGCCTGGCTATCATTTGCCGGCTAAAATTAATACGCCATAGCGCCGATTTAGAGATCCCGGGGAAGACCATGTCGAGGTCGGGCATTCCACAGATACAAAACCATGGATGACGCAACGCCAAAACCAAGAGAAAGAATTGCGAAACAAAACTACAAAGAAAGCTTCGCAAACAGAACGGGCATCGAGGTTCGGTATCACGGACGGGGTGAACACCTCGGGCGGGTCGCCCAATGAGCCACTACGCGGCCGCCACCTACCATCGACCACCGAGGCCATCCTGGCAGGCGAGTTGGAGTTCCTTCTCTAAATATAATATTGCAAGAGCCTGCCCGGCGGCAAGGGGCTACCCATTGCGAGCGTCAACGCGAGTAGGGCCGCTGCAACTAACAACGCACACGGATGGCACCAGCCACACGCGCTTCGCGACGCGCCAAATAGAACAATAGGCACTGGCCCACCCACCAATCAAACCGAGGAACCCGGCCGGGTGGGTCAGTCTCCCTCCTCTGCCTGCCAGCCCCCAAGCCGGCCCGGGGCAGGGGCGAGGCAAGGGAGATCCTGGGCACCTGGGCAGCGACGCGGGCGCCCCGGCAGCGCTACGGCCGCGGTGCCGGCCCGGCCCATCCGACCGAAGACACCACGAAAGCCACCGCCCCGCGGCGGCGGCGGGAAGCGATTGGGCGACCGCGGCCCGGGCGGGCCTTCGGCCTGTCGGCAGGGGGGCCAAGCGGCGGCCGCGCCGGCCTGCAAGGCGCGGGGCGGCCCGGCCCCGCCAGTGAGCATCTAGCTATGTATTGGGGCGGGGCACTGCGCGGGCCGACGGCTTCCCGGCGGGGCGAGCCTCATCGACGAAGGGGCTGGACGCAAGAGGCATCCTTCCACGGGCCCCCCGCCCATTCGCCCGCCGCCCGCGCCATGCTCCCCCCGGCCCCGCGCGAAGGCCCTTCGGGCGATTCTCCCCGGGGCGGGCGCAGCCTAGCGCGGGCGCACGCGGCGCCGCCGCTGCACAACGAGCCAGGGCCTGCACTTTGGCAAAGAAGGGCGGCCCGGCGGCGTCCGCCACCAGCCAGGCTCGGCGCGGAGGCCGGTGCGCCCAGGGATGCCCTGAGGGCGGGGGGTGGGGCAGTGTTTGGGCCCCGTCCGGCCTTGGGTCATCCATGGCGCGCCTTTACCGTGGCGCCCGGTGCATACGTGGCCCACATGGCCTGGCTCGGGCTCTGGCAAAGGGCTCGGGCCCTCTTTCCAGGCTGCCGCCTGCCCGCCCGCCCGGGTCCATGGCACAACGCCGCCGGCGGGGCAACAATAACAAGCGCAGGCGGGCGCGTGCGTCTCCCGGTGATCGCGCGAACCAGCCCCCGGGGGTCGAGGCGCCACACCAGCGCCACGACGCACGCACTGCCCGGCCTGCGCGACCGCCGCCCCCCCCGTTTATTTTGCTACACGAAAGGCGCCCACCCAGAACCCCGCCGAACTTTCGGCCGCTTAGCGCGCTGGCCCGCAGCCTATCCCGCAGCTAGCTCCTCCCTTGGCGCCTACGGACTGGTAGGCTTGGTGATGCGCAGAGTTTTGCTGCTGTTTCCAGAACAAAGACAGACACAACAAAAGCAAAATCCAATGTAGTAGACCAGGGGAACACACTCCATGATCAGTGTCAGCAATAGTCTCTTCGCGCAGCTCGTCTTCGAGCATGAAGGTGAAGCTCTCGCACTTACGCTTTAATTTCATTCTACTTTTTTATCATCTTTTTTCTTAAGATTGGCCGCGCGTCTCGACGTAAAGTCTGATCATCGTTTGTGCTACCAAAAGGCTCTCGTTCTCTTTGAATGACGCAGCCTACTTTCTCCTCAGTTTGAAGTGAAACATGAAGTGGCATTGTCGCTGATATCGATTCAAAGTCATTCAAAGTTTGCGTCGTCTCTTTCACTTCACCGCTTATTGTGTTAACGTGACCAGAAAGGCTCTACTTCCGCAAAAATCACACGTGATCCTGCGACTTGCGTCTCGCTACCAGAACCAGCAGAAAGCAATAGATACAATCAGAAATATGAGCGTGAGTAAGCGATATTCCTCTATAATTAGAGACTGGTGAAATAAGAGTAAGCGAGCGCTTTATTCATCGATAAAGGTAGCGTTCTTTTTGATTTTCAACTTCTGTGTGACAAGAAGAGCTGCATTACACTACTGTTCCTCCTCCAAAGATCTACAACTCCATTTGTTGACAACGGTTCTCCACATCAGCTACACAATCCCACTTCTTACCAAGCTTCCTACGTGTTGGAACCACCGCTGAAAATTCTCCGAACTCGGCATGCCGCCCTTACACTCCTCGAACAATTTCTTGTCTGTCGCGGACATCTCAAATCCGCCAGCGTACGGAAACTGTGCGAAGTGCGACTCCCAATCCTTCTTTATTGCCCCGTTCTTGTTGTTCTCACCATTATTCTGATGTTCCTGCTTCTTGTTCTTCGCACCTCCAGCAGCTGCAGTGGTCTCCTTCGAAGTAGTAGAGTCGTTTTTGCTCGACGCACCTGCTGTTTCCGCGGATAACTTTTCTGGTTTTGATGCAGAAGAAGCTGCGGAGCTGCTTGAAGACGCACCATTTTTCCCGGCGCCGATTGGCTCCGGCTTCTGGCCCTCAAATTCGTCAAATTGGTTCGCAGGTTTGCTGTTCGGGTTGGATTTCGCGACGAACATCTCCACGGAATCTTTAATCGAGAACTCCCCGAGCGGCTTGCCCGTGTCGCGATCCCGCAAGTTGACCGCCAACGCCGACTGTTCCTTCTCCCCGCAGATCGCAACGTAGTTGTACTGGGCCAGCTGCGCTTCCCGGACCTTCTTGTTCATGGTCTTGCTGCTGGTGTCGACGTCAGCGAAGATGCCGAAGTTTTTGTACTGCTCGGCGACGTACTCGCAGTACTTATTCAAACCAGCGTGCGTCGGGACGATCATCACCTGTCTCGGGGAGATGAAGAACGGCCACTTGCCGCCGTAGTGCTCACACAGGATACCTGATTTGGATGTGGATTTCATGCAGACAGCACTTGCACTTTCAATTCAGTTGTAGATGAAGCGCAACATTGTTTATTGCATCATCAAAGAAAAAACCTCACTAGATCTTAACTTACATGACTCCCTTACACGTCAGTACCTGTGAACCTCTCCACGGATCCTAGAATGGCACGGTGGATCATGACCGGCCGCTCGTGACCGGGTTTCAGCACACCTTCCAACCCAACCGCTTCCATTCTCTGTTCCTTTTCCTTCTCCTTGTCGGCAGCAGATTTTCCAGCATCCGCCGCTGGTGCACCGCCATCTGCAGACGTAGCAGACGCTCGCGGTTCCTTCGGCTCAGCGGCAGCAGCAGCGGCTTTTTTGTCTTTCTTGTTCTCCTTGGTTTCCTTCGGAGCAGCTCCTGCTGCCTGTGCTTGTTCTCCTTCGGCCTTGGCAGCCTCGGCTTCTTTCTGCTCGTCCGCCTGCGTGCGGAACTGCAGGTTGAAACGCATCGGGAAAAGGAAATCCAATTGCATCGTCGCACACTGGTGCTGACGCCCGATCGCGTCTTTAACCTGGGGTAATGGGAGTTCACAATCGAATGTACACAAGCATGATATTTGACGCTAGTATTGATTGATCTTCTTTGTGAGCCTGACGCCACTATCATGAGAATCCGATTTTGGTGTCAACATGCGGCGTGACAACGACAAGCATACTAACTTGTAACTTTAGCAACTACGAGATGTTGTGTGATGTAACGAAAAGGATCTGAAAATCTATCCCAATAAAACTCGACATACCTTGAAATCGATTTTCGGTCCGTAAAATGCCCCATCTCCCTTGTTCAGCCCCCACGGGAGTCCGCTTTCGTTCAAAGCCTCTGCTAATTGCTTCTCCGCGTTGGCCCACACTTCCTTGCTGCCGATTGCCTTCTTTGGGCGGGTGGAAAGGACCATGGTGTACTCCAAACCGATGGTCTCGTAGATGAACTGCACGAATTTCAAGGCGTTTTTGATTTCGGATTTCACCTGGTCCATGCGGCAGAAGATATGGCCATCGTCCTGCTGGAACCGCCGGACACGGGTCAGACCTGGTAATTGGTTGGGTGTGCGAGTTGTATGTTGAGACGGATTTCGTACTCCCGTACTTAGTAGAGAAAGCATCGCAATACAAGCATTCAACAAGCCCCTCCTGGACCGCAGCACAGTGTGCACGACTTTGATTTGACTACACATTCCTTCGCGTCAAAGAAAAAAAACCCTGGCTACAAAAGTATACCACTCAACGCCCCGCTGTTCTCGTTTCTGTGCAAGACTCCGAAGGACGCCATCCGGAGCGGCAACTCCCGGTAACTCCTCACGCGGTGCGCGAAAACCACGCAATGCCCTGGGCAGTTCATGGGCTTCAGAAACCATCTTTCCCCCTCAAGGTATCACAGGAAAAAGCGTTAACGTCAACGGAATTTGTGATGCAGTAACGCATCACAAAACGCGCCCAAATTTGTCATGCATAGCACGCATGCTAGGCAAAATGTGTCATGCATATTTGCAATCTATGAAAACCGTTAACGTTAACACTTTTTTGTTTGATACAATGTCCATGTTGTACATGTCGTCTTTGTACTTGTAGTAGTGTCCGGACGTATGCTCTGCAAAAGTATCGCACTAGTACTAATTGCAATCATGCATGACAAATCTTGTTTCTTAGCCAAATCAGCATTACAAACTCCATTTCTCCTTCTGAGAAAATTTGTATTGCGATTTATACTAGTACGATGCTTTTGCAATGCATAGGACGCTTTAAACAAAGACTCGTGGTACAGATTTGGCGTGATCACCTCCTGAAACCCGCGAATCGCGTACTCCCGGCGCATGAATTCCACCAACTTGTTGTAAATCCTGGCGCCGTGGGGCATCCAGAAGCAGGAGCCGGCGGAGAAGTCGGAGAAGAAGTAGAGCTCCTGCTTTTTCCCGATCTCCCGGTGGTCGCGTTTAGCCGCTTCCTCGAGCTGTGTCTTGTGCTGTTTCAGTTCCTTGTCGGAGGGGTAGGAGACACCGTAGATGCGCTGGAGGGAATCGTTCTTATCCTTACCCAGCCTGTTGTGGTGAAGTTGTGTAGTTCGTTAGTTTGATCATTCGGGCGGTTCTTGCCTACTTTTGTTTTGGATGATCGGGAGGAACAAGATGATGCTTTTCGTTTTGTTGCTGTAGTTCCTTCCCTAGAGTTTGCATTTTGTTCGTTTTGGGAAGCACATATTGCTACCGCAGCGTTGCGGTTTTGGTTTTAGACAGCGCGGCGCGGCGTAAAGCGGAGCGACGAGCATGCTATGCGCAGCTGGGGCGGCAGGGGTGGGCGTGGGCGTGCGGTGGCGAAAAGGCGTGCGGTGCCACGCAAATAGGCATCTCGCATGCCATGGCGCAGACGCAGAGGACTGTTGTTGACAAAGATCGGTATAATTGACGTCACACCTATGTGACACGATGAAGCCGATGGTACGATGGTAAAACAACTTATTCGTCTTTCATGTTCATCTTGAGTTTCATGCAAGTCTCAAACTCGCTGCAAGAAAAACCTACAACATACACCATCGTGATATATAAAGATGATACCAGTAACTTGCGCTGTTCTTGTGGATCCAGAAGGACTTGCATTTTCCCGTGGACGGCAGGTGCGGTCCGCGGCACAAGTCGACTAATGGCCCGCAGCGGTAGCAGCTGGTCATGGATCCGTCCGGCACTTTGTTCGTGATCAGCTGCACTTTGAAGGGGTTATCCGCGAACATTTCGAGCGCGTCTTCTTTGGTCAGAGTAACCCGCTCAAACGGCTGGTTTTCCTTCACGATTTCCTGGCAACGCTTCTCTAATTTCGGCAGGTCGTCCGTCGTGGAAATTTTCTTGTCTCCGAAAAAACCGTCGTAGTAGAACCCTTTCTCCAACGAGGGCCCGATGGTTAAGTGCGCTCCGAACTCCACTTCGATCGACTGCCCCAGCACGTGAGCGGAGCTGTGCCAGAAAACGTCGGACGCAAGCTTATCGTCGAACGTCAGGAGGTGGAGGGTGCCTGATATGATTTCCGTGCCGGTTGATCATGATCTTCATGGTCGTCTTGCAATACAAATGAATTCATCTGGTTGTACCTACTACAGAAAAGCACTGCAAACAGGCGCCTCGAGAAAGTAGAGCAGCTTGTTGAAGTGCAAAGAACCAGAAGCAATGCATGCACGTCAAAAAAAAACTCTGTCACGCAGCCAAGGTGTGCAGAATTGAAAAACAATTCAGCACAAGCTTCTTCGGTACTGTAGGAGCTACCTAGGTGAGCCAGAAACTGCACTAATAACCGCTTAAATTTTCTGAAGGCTAATCATCTGCTCTGGATTGCATTGAGAGCCAGGCATCTCGAACGACGCAACACCACCCGTTTTAGCAGTGAAGGGAAGTTCAATTGGGGTTCGCTTCGCGCTACCACCCTCACGCTTGGCGTTCAAAAGATACTTCCTAAGAGCTGGAGAGAATCCTTAGCCCCCGACGAAAACAACCACTATCCCCGTCGCCTCTTGAGGATCGTGGAAGTCGGACAGAAAAATTAGGCCCCAGGCTTGAATGCCCGGCGGCTCGCTTCTTTGCGAAATGCATTAAAGCTTGCCGGAAATAAGTACGCCCCCGAGCTTAGTGATCAACGCGGAGTACGCCCCCGAGCTTAGTGATCAACGCGAGTTAGAATTGAAAAACAAGAAGTGCTGCAAGAATACAGTTTCCTTCCAGTGGTCTCGAGATGTCCCAGAGGACAAATTTCTCGTCCTTAGCGTCTTCCTCTATCCTGAGTAAAAACGTACCCACACCAGAGTCAAGATGGGGAATCTGCTAGACAAATCAGCCAGCTTTGGTTGTTTGGCATGACAAGTTTCTCCGCGTAGTGTAGTGCTGTTTAAGCTAGTTTAGCAGCATTACAGATCTAGTATCTCGTGCTGATTGGAGCATGACAAATTTCAAAACCGCATTAGAAAATGCTTCTCATGGGGCTCCGCATGAGAAACATTTTAAGCATGCAGAGTTGCATGACAACTATGGTGTGGGTACGTTTTTACTCAGGATATCCTCGTCATCTGACCCATCCTCGTCAGACTCTGGCTCCTCATCGGCGTTTACTACTTGAGACAGTGACGCAATGGTCTCGGAGTAATAGACCTGATTTTGTAATGTGATTTAGCTTGTCATGCGGAAAATGAAAACGCGTGCTTTCTTCGGTAGTAGACGCCGATTGAAAGGAAGACCACATCACGGGCACACTTCTGCATAAAGCAAAGTGAAGATCATGATTCTACTCGCGAACACTCAGTACCTTAGCCACGACGATTTTTTCTGCCAGCTTCTTCGATATCCCAACAGCAATCGATTCTGGCGTGGTTTCAAAGCTCGTCCCCTTTACCAGCTTGCCATCCGGCAGTGTGATCGTGATCTCCTTCTTTGGGATTTTCGCGATCGCTTGCTCGTGTTTTGCCTTCACCTTCTCCCACACCTGTAATCTTTTCTTCAAGTATTCCGCATTCTGTCCGCATTTGAATTCTTTCGGATCCGGGAAAAGCTTGGAAGAAGCAATCTGCGGCCCGTCGCCGGCGACTAGACGCCGGGCTTGCTGCGTCGTGGCCATGGCTTGTTGTAGTGCGGTGGCGACGTAAAAACGCCTTTGACGGTGGAAAATGTGAATCTTTTAGGTTCTTTGGTGGTGAATGTGAATGTCGTGGGGTGTTTCTGAGAAATTTTCTTGTTAGGACATCAAACGCACAAGTTTAGGGTGGATGCAAGTGTAATGTATGGGTAATGCTAATGCGTCGAACGTACTATGGGTACGAAATAAAAGGTCAAAAATCTAACTTTTCGCAAATCCGGAGTGCCTGAAGATTTTAGAACGCAAAGAACAATTCTTACCGTGCGTTCCATGTTCATGTACGTAGGAATAATTTCTTGCTTTGATAAAGTGATTGCGATCTTGCGATGGTAATAGATCTTCTACTGGATGCGATTAAATTCGCTACATGTATTGTCCGGGCAAAAAGTAGAAACAATGCAAGCTGATCTGATGATCAACATGATGATCTTTCCTTGTAAAAAAGTTTGTTCGGGATGATCCTTCGTAGTGATACACATGTGGCTGAACAACAACACCAGCAGCGCATGCCACCGGCTGATTTGATTTTTGCTGACAGCTTCGTCATGTTTCTGTTTCTCGGGACAGCTATAAATGTTTCTCTTCAATTGCCTGTCTTGCTCGAGACTTAATTCTTCCCATTGATATCATGATCATCGTTCGAAACCATTTCGTGGAAAATCCTCGTGTGGTCAACCAAATTTATTCAATTCTTTTTTTTCCTAACTACTTTCGTCCGACATCAACTTTATACAAAACCACTCTATCATGTGATGCGGAGCTCGTTGCTCTATTCGAAATTTTGCGTATTTACAGTTATCCGCCACTTCTACTAAGCTAAGTATATTCTTCTCGGATCTTCGCTGCGTCTGTCACGTCAGCAACCCGCAAAGCAAAATCAATATCATTCACCAAAAAGACCGAAAGTCTACCTTTTACATTCATCGGAAACCTCTCAAGAACGAGATGGTCGAATACAAATTTTCATTTTCATCGAATGTCAAAAACCATTTCATTCTATCTGTTTCTTTAAGGGGGCTCTACAACTACAACACCTCCCTCAGAAGTTGCATGATTAGGTAAGGTTGTTCTCCGTAACCGTATCTGTCATTTCATCTATCAACCACATGGCGCCCTCGTTTTTAACATAGTTTTTCAGTTGCTGTAAAAATTTTCCTTGCCGTATCTGAAAGGCAAAGGACCCGAAGCTGTTGACGTTGTTGTACCAAGAAGACAGCATATTGCCATTTCCGTTTCAGCAGCGTCCCGCCCGCACCAAGCTCCCCACATGCTCGAACCACCGCTGAAAATTCTCGGAGCTCGGCATCCCGGATTTGTTGCAGTCGTCGAAGAGTTTCTTATATCAAATGCAAATATGTCTGGGTCTGGAAAAGGAAACTTGTAATGCTGAATTGTGAATAGTGAACTCTTTGTATTGCACAGCGAAGCATGAGAAATATTTGCGCTTCTTAGTGTTGCGCTTTCCGCGTGACAAACTGCGTTTTGCATGACAAACAAAAGGGTCTCTTCTTGGACACGCAGCACAAACTCTTCAGTCATGCTAGACAAGCATGACAACCCTTGCATCCTTCCAGATTCATCAGACATGTTTGCAATGCATATCTTATCGGTCTCAGACAGTTCAAACCCCTCAGCGTACGGGAACTCCGCGAAGTGCGCCTCCCAGTTTTTCTTGCTGGATATCGAAAGGAAAAATCCCCCCTCCCCATATCAAAACGGAATTTCTGATGCTGGATTTGTGTACGCAAATCCGGTTTGTATTGCACAGAGGCACTCCTGCGGCCAGATCCCCAGGCTAGGTAGGGGCGTATGGGTCCTCTAGTTGTTCAGCATGGCAAACGCCTCCCCTTTGCCTTTAGGCCCAACAGCATGACAAATCAATTCCATAATGAGGCGGAAGCTTCTGCCCTTGTCTTCTTGCAAGACAAACGAGATTCGTGACCTCAAATCAGCAACACAAATTTTCGGAAGCATACCTGTTCGATATGGGGAGGGGGGATTTTTGCCTCTGATACTGGATTGATTTTCCTTCTTGTTGCTCGTCGTGGATGTTGCGCCAGCGGTCTCCGCAGTGGCAGCAGATGTCTTCTTGTCGTTGTCCGTCTTCTGCACAGAGAAGTTCGTCGCAGTTCCAGTTGATGTTCCTGTTCCAGATGATGAAGTAGAACTACTACTTCCCGCACTAGCCGGCTTCGGCACGCGTCCCTCAAACGCGTCAAACTGGTTCGCTGGTTTGCTGTTCGGGTTGGATTTCGCGACAAACATGTCCACCGAATCATTCAAGCCGAACTCCCCGACCGGTTTCCCCGTGTCCCGGTCCCGCAAATTAACTGACAAGTTTTCCTGCTCCTTCTCCCCGCAGATCGCAACGTAGTTGTACTGGGCCAGCTGGGCCTCCCGGACCTTCTTGTTCATGGTCTTACTGCTGGTGTCGACGTCGGCGAAAAGACCAAAGTTGCGGTACTGCTCCGCGATGAATATACATCGCAAAAACATCGGATTCTTGGCAATTGCAGTCCTGCATGACAAATCGAATCTTGTAGCTGATCTAGCATGACAAGTTCCATTTTTGTTCTTGGGGAAATTTGTAATGCGAGTGTTCCTACACCTACTGGAAGTACGATACTTTTGCAATGCATAACGTACTCGCAGTACTTGTTCAGGCCGGCGTGGGTGGGGACGATCATGATCTTATCCTGAGTAAAAACGCACCCACACCAGAGTCAGGATGAGGATTTTGCAACACAAACCTAGGAGCTTTAGGAGTCACGCATGACAAGTCTCAGTCCGTAAGGTAGTGCAAGTTAGCAAGGAAAGCCGCATCACAAATCGACCTCCTGATCCTGTTTACAGCATTACAAGTTCCCAAACACGATTGAAAATGCCTGTCATGGGGTTGCGCATCACAAATGTTCCTGTCATGGCAAATCTGCATGACAACTCTGGGGTGGGTACGTTTTTACTCAGGATAGATCTGCCGCGGGCTGAGGAAAAATGGCCACTTACCACCGTAGTGCTCGCACAGGATGCCTGTATGTTTGGTACGTACTTATGAGTTATATGAGTTTGTGTTTGTGTTTGTGTGCGATAGAAATAAAGAACGCGCTGATGAACATGCATCATCTATAAATTGCGGTACAACTCGTCGGAAGATTATGCTCATCTTCATTCTATTTCATCTTATGATGCAAAATAAATGTAGGCCGTAAAGCAGCACGACTAGGACTAGTACGAATTCGAATCCTTGCTATTTCCTACCTGTGAACCTCTCCACCGATCCCATAATCGCCTATCAAATGCAAAAGTGTCTGGGTCTGGAAAAGTAAGTGTAAACTTGTCATGCAGGTTTTTCATGACCCATGAGGTCTGGAATGCGGGACCTAGCATGACAGAGTCTGTGAGGTCTCTGCCATGCCTATCCTGCATGAGAAACTTCTTCCAAAGATGGTCGAAAGTGGGCAGCTTTTGGCGGTCATGCAACACAGATTTCTGCATGATTCGGATTTAGCATGACAAGTTGCAATCTTCCAGACCCAGGCACTTTTGCAATCCATATCGCCCGGTGAATCACCACGGGTCGCTCGTGCCCCGGTTTCAAGACGCCCTCCAACCCGTACGCTTCCAATATGACTTGCTCAACCGTTACAATCTCAAACGTTACAATAGAATGTGGAATTTGTGCTGCATGATGAGCATGACAGACTCGCACAGCTTTCCACCTTTTGCAATACAAATCTCGCGAGATTATAGTGGGGCTTGGGGCTCTGGAACTTGTCATGCGCAAGCCTATGAGACTTGGCTAGATCATGCAATCTTGCATCACAGATTTCAATACTCTATTGCAACGTTTGAGATTGTAACACCTGAGCGGGTTATATCCAATTTCGCCTCTTTTTCCTTCTCCTTGTCGACAGCGGATTTGGTTCCCGCCGAGTCCCCGTCCGCGGAGGCCAGCGCGGCCGCGTTCCCATTTATGGCAACAGCGGCACCAGAAGCGGCGTTTTTGCCTTTCGGAGGAACTGCAGTTGTCTTGTCTCCTTCCTTGTTACCCAAAGCCGCCTGCTCGCCAGCTTCCTTCTGCTCGTCCGCCTGTGTGCGGAACTGGAGGTTGAATCGCATCGGAAACAGGAAGTCCAGTTGCATCGTCGCGCATTGGTGCTGCCGACCCAGGGCGTCTTTTGCCTGAAGATGACGAAAAGAAGTTGTTTGGTGCGGTTTTAAACTTTTTGTTTTTTGAGTAGCTTTGCTATGGAATTGTCGGCTTTGAAGCTTGAAACTGGCCTAAATTAGATCGTGTTGTACTTCATCTACCAACATTCACGGTAAGAAAATTTGTAACTCACGGTTTCTCATTTTCTACTTTGAAGTCGATCTTCGGTCCGTAAAACGCCCCGTCGCCCTTGTTCAAGCCCAAGGGCTCACCGTTCTCGTTCAGAGCCTCGGCAAGCTCCTTCTCCGCATACGTCCACACCTCCTCAGAGCCAATGGCTTTTTTCGGCCGGGTAGAGAGCACCATCGTGTATTCCAAGCCAATCGTCTGGTACACAAACCGCACGAAAGCGAGCGCGTACTTGATTTCGCTCTTCACCTGGTCCATCCGGCAGAAGATATGCCCGTCATCCTGCTGAAAGCGACGGACGCGGGTCAGACCTAAAACGTATATACAGGGATCTCGCTATTTAGTTTCGGCTGAAGCATCAAAACATGATCACGCGACTTCTATACGACATGCTATGCAACTATTCCAAATGATGTTTTCTGTTTATCATGTTGACAGAGAGAAAATACTCAAGCCAGCACATTTTAGATCTACCACTCAACGCCCCACTGTTTTCGTTTCTGTGCAGCACGCCAAAGGAAACCATCCGCAAGGGTAGTTCCCGATAGCTCCGCACGCGATGCCCGAAGATGACGCAGTCGCCGGGGCAGTATTACAGTGCACATCTCCCCCTCCCCCTCATTTGTAATGCAAAGTACCAAACTCGCACCTTGCTCGTACGCGCTGTTAGCATGACAAACTATACATAGTACTACAATCCGCATGCAGATTTGTCATGCGAAAGCCCATTTTCTGCTGTTGCTTGTATTGCTGTTCATGCCATACACATGAGGGGGAGGGAGGGTTGTGCACTCTCATAGGCAGTTCATCGGTTTCAAAAACCACCTTTCCCCCTCGATGTTCATACTGTACATGTCGTCTTTGTACTTGTAGTAGTGCCCCGAAGCCTTGAAGAGACTCTCGTGCACCAAGTTTGGTGTGATCACCTCCTGAAACCCGCGAATGGCGTACTCCCGCTGCATGAAGCTCACCAACTTGTTGTAGATCCGGGCGCCGTGCGGCATCCAGAAGCAGGACCCGGCGGAATAGTCGGAGAAAAACCAGAGCTCCTGCTTCCGTATCCTGTGTAAACCTATCGCACTTGTACTAATTGCAAATATGCATTACAAATCTCCTTTCTAAGGTAACACAGCATTACAAATTCCACTCTTCTTCTTGCCAAGATTTGTGATGCAAATTATACTAGTACGATACTTTTGCAGTTCATATTCCGCCCGATTTCTCGGTGGTCGCGCTTGGCGGCTTCTTCCAGCATCAGTTTGTGCTGCTTCAACTCCTTGTCGGAGGGGAAAGAAACACCGTAAATGCGCTGGAGGGAGTCGTTCTTGTCTTTCCCCAACCTAGGTGGAAGTGGTGAATCGTGCTTCTGGTTTTATCTTTCACGCCAAGTGTTGAAAGTGCAGGTCGTACACGTACACAATCACAAGGCATTGTATCATGGAATCACTATTTTTACCAGGAACAGTAGAAAATCAGCGTCAGTCGCATGCAAAATAGAAGATTATCAGTACCAGTAGCTCGCGCTGTTTTTGTGGATCCAGAAGGACTTGCATCTACCCGTGGACGGCAAGTGCGGCCCGCGGCACAAATCGACTAGCGGCCCGCAGCGGTAGCAGCTGGTCATGGATCCATCCGGGACTTTGTTCGTGATCAACTGCACCTTGAACGGGTTGTCCGCGAACATTTCCAGAGCGTCCTCCTTGCTTAAGGCGACCCGCTCAAACGGCTGGCTCTCCTTCACGATTTCCTGGCAGCGCTTCTCTAATTTCGGCAAGTCTTCCGTCGTGGAGATTTTCTTCTCGCCGAAAAAGCCGTCGTAGTAAAACCCACGCTCCAAGGGTGGCCCGATGGTCAAGTGCGCCCCAAATTCGACCTCAATGGCTTCTCCCAAGACGTGAGCGGAACTATGCCAAAACACGTTGGAGGCAAGCTTGTCCTCAAATTTCAAAAGGTGGAGAGTACCTATAGAACAAAATTTAGTGATGCTGGCAAAGAACATTCCGCACCTGCAAATTGTTGAAATTCAAATTGTCATGCTCCAGAAGCATGATGAACAGCAACGGGCGGTCGCGCCTCAAGCTACCAATGGCAAAGAGCTGCAGAAGTCATCCACTACACAAAAAGAACCACCGGCGTACAATTCCCCTCCAGTGGCCGGCTGATGTCCCACAGAACAAATTTGTCCTCCTTCGCGTCTTCGTCATCAGATCCGTCAGCATCGGAGTCCGGCTCTTCATCCGCGGCGACGCATTGCGTTAAAGAGGCGATGGGCTCGGTGTAGTAGACCTTATAATATAGGTTTGTTGACAACTACGAACCATCCTTCTCATGCGCAATAGTACGCAACAGAGTTGTGCTTGGTCATTGTCATGCACAGACCATACAAGAGCTGCACGAACTATCCAATTCTACTACCTTCGCCACCACAATGTCCCCGGCTAGTTTCTTGGAAATCCCCTCTGCAATCATTAAAGGAGTGGTTTCGAAGCTCGTTCCCTGCACCTGCTTCCCGTCCGGCAGGGTGATGGTGATTTGCTTTTTCGGAATAGCGGCAACAGCCTTTTCGTGTTTGGCCTTCACCTTTTCCCACACCTGCAACCTCTTCTTCAAGTAGTCCGCGTTCTGGTCGCATTGGAACTCCTTTGGGTTTGGGAAAAGCTTGGAAGAAGCAATCTGCGGGCCGTCGCCCGCGACAAGACGCCGGGCCTGCTGCGTCGAGGCCATGGCTCGCTGGGGGAATGAGTGTTGGAGGAGGAAGGGCTTGGGCGAACGCAATTGGAAAAAACGAAAAATCGTCGTAGGTAGTGATCGCAATTGTATGAAATGTGAAACACAAACGAGATGACTGCTCAAGCGCAAAGTGGAAGTCTGTGCAACACTAGTGTAGTAATGCCTAGATCTGAATTGGCCGGATGTCAGAGTACCAAAAAAGTCAACACGCCGACATGGACAGTTCTTTACTCATAATATAGTGAGTCGACTCGTATGAAAGAAGATGCGTACGTAGGGGTAATTTAATGCGTCATTATTCATATTCCTCCACAACAAGAATAACACAACGCGGTGTAAAGTTCAAGCACCAAACTGGTGCCTCCACTGGTGATATCTCAATAATCATGTTTCATGCGCTTCATTGAAGTGCACGAAAATAGGTGGAGGATCCTTTTCTTCTGCACGAAGAGCCAGCTGACACACTTTGTCTGGTCACGAGGAAAATAATGAACTTGCAAAATAACAAAAGGTAGAGCACTAGTCCAAGTTCTTATGATGTGAGTGAACGATCGAAAATCAAATAATCGGCGAACACGAAACATGCAAAACGGACCAAAGACACTGACCAGCCGGAGCTCTTCCATCCATCTCACCGCCCATGGCTGACGCCATTGCCCCCACCTGTCGGGCCTCACGAATACAGCTCGATCGGGGACCTTGGGCGGCGCACGCAGCCCCGATCCCACCCGGCCCGAGGGAGCGAGCCATGGATACGGGCGGCGGGGGCGCCCTTTAACCAATGTGCGGAAGAGCCATGCCCCAACCCCCAGTCCCCGCGGGCGCCACCCGGGCGAGCGGAATCATGCATGTGCGACCGGGGGGCGCGAGGGCGGGGGGCGGGCCGGCGGACACGCCGCGGGGCGCGGCGCAGCCAATAAATCGCCAACCCTGCGAGTGCAGAACTATGAAGCTAGCGCGCGGGCGGGCCAGCAAGGCCAGCGGAGAGAGACCGGCCCCCGCCCCCGGGCAGGCCACAGACAGGGCCCATGATGTGGGGGCGGGCGGGGGAGCCCGAGGCAAGGCCCGAGCTGGCCCAGCAAAACGCTGCAAAATCCTACCGCGCAACTGCGCACGTCCCGGCCGCGGGCGAGGCTCGCACGGCGGTCCGCGAGCAAGTGGGCCCCATGGCCGGCGTTGTTCGGAACCGCCTCGGGCGAAGTGTCCTGGATTTCGGCGGGAATGCCGGCGATACGCGGGCAAAGGAACACTGGCTGGATCTGGCGGCCAGGCGCGCCCGCGGCTCCGGGCGGCAGCCCCCCGGCATACATTGACGACGGACAGACAGAAACGCTCGGCGCACACTCAGGCGGCGCGGGCCGGCAAGCAGGAAAGTCGGAGACACTGCGGGGGGCTGCGCGGATGCCTCTCTCTCGGCGTTTGGTGTAGAGGTCTCGGCCCTCCGTTCCCCTCCGCAGGAGTTCCGCGCTGGCGCCGAAGCTCCGCCGGCAATACTGCGCTGCATTCATGAGAGGCGCGCCAACTGCCTGCGCGCCGCCGCTTTGCGCGTCGGCCTGGCCGGCGCGTTAGCTTGCGCGCAAGCCGGCATGCGCCCACGGAACGCGGAGAGCAAAGCTCTTCTGGCCAAAATTTCCCGGACGTGTGGCGAGAGACAACCCACCAACCCCCGCTCGCAGGCGGCGCCGGTAGCTCTGCGGCGGAAAAGCGGGGCGCTGTTCTCTTGCGCGAGATGTAAGCGAAGAGAAAAAAACCCAATCTGGACCACGACGGGGCACGCTGTTGCTCTTAAAAACTTCCTGAACACTGGAAACAAATGCTCTTCCGGGCGGGCCGCGGGCTGCGACAAAAGTCGCACTGCTCGCAGGCGAAGTCTTCTATTGTATTCATCGTGCTCTTCGTTTCATTCCTTCTCTTCGAAAATTGACGAGAAAAGTATAGAAGTTTTTGTGAGCCATAGTCATTTTCGGCCTCCCTCGAAGTGCACAACCTGCGAGGACCGACGAGGACTCAGCCAAAGGCTCTAATTCAAGTGCTGTCTTCATCAAAATCAAAACCACTTTCGCGCGAGGACTGTCAAATCTGACACAAACTCCTCCTTCAACTCCCCCGCACCCTCGCAAACCAGCTCCGCAGCCGCCCATTCCCGTCGTATTTTTCCTTGATCTTCTTGTAATGCTCCCCGTTGTACTTCTGGTAAAACTCTTCTTCCGTGTAGTAGCACGTGGAATACAGCGTTTTGATCGCCGCGTTTTCGTCGCAGATCGCCTCCAGCCCTCTGTTCACGTTCCCCGCTTGGTTCCCGCCCAGGGTCGTACATCTCTCCTTGGGTCTCGTGGTCGTATCTTCCAGCGCGTCCCAGAACCCAAAGTTGATGTACAGCTTATTCTCATCCATCGGCATCAAGGGCGCACTGGTCCCTCGCACCGGACATAGCCAGATCGGCACCGTGTCGGGCCGGGTTGTTCTCTTGATTTGCTGCTGCTGGTGGAAGGGGAACAGCGGGCGTGGCGGGTTTTTGAGAGGAGTCGTAGAACAAGTCGTAGTAGAAGTCGACTCCTTCATAATTTTCCTCTCGCGCATCATGTTGGCACCACTTGTTGCCGGCTTGTTTTCATCATCTTCAACATCCGCAGCCAGCAGTGTCTGCCCTGATTCAATAACATTCGGTGTAGAAGAAGTTGCTGTAGTGCCTCCGATTATTTCCAGTTTGCATGGCAAATCCGTAGTCGTGGTTTCCGCAACGTTGTAATCCGAGTTCAGTTATCAAATGCAAAAATGCCTGGGTCTGGCAGGATGCAAGGTTTGTCATGCACGTTTTGCATGATTACTGACGTCTGTGATGCATGCCCTAGCATCACCGATTTTGCGAGGGCTTCCTGATGCCTATACCGCATGAGAAATGCCCTCTCGCCATGGCAAAAACTGGACCTCTTTTGCTGTTCATGCAATACAGATTTTCGTAGCATGCAAATGCAGCATCACAAGTTACATCCTTCCAGACCCAGACATTTTTGCAATCCATATCAGTTTGATTTTTCCGAACAAATCCGACCGGACGATCCGGCAGTGCTCACGGAGCCAGTTATGCAATACAAATTTCCGGTACATTTACAACATGCATCACAAATTTCACCAATTTGGAGCGTAAAACTTGTCATGCTAGACTAGGATCGAAATCAAGTTTTGTCATGCAGAGACCGCATGTGTACGTGTACGGCGAATTTACTGTGGATACCAGTGAGCAGAATTTTCCACCGGAACCTCAATGTCTTGGATCACCAGCTCCTGGTTCTCCTGCATCGCAAGAAAAAACTGCTGCGCTGTGCACTTGTGATGCAGAAAATGGAGCACAGAACTATTTGTCTTGCTACACCTCCAAGGCATGGGATATTCAGGCGCGTTTTCCCTTGGGAAGCGCGCATGTCAAATTTGCAGTGTCATGTGTAAAAAACTTGTAATGCAGATCTTGCAAAATCATCACAGTGAAGCAGTTTTTTCGTGGGATATCCTGCGCTTTCGGGAAGATTTTCGCGAGGAGACGGGTGAACTTGTCGTTGAAAACTTTGTACATATCAGATCGAAGGAGGCGCGGGCCGCAGAGGTACCTGATAATTTTGGACGATTTTTACGATTTTTTCTGCACAAAACTTGTCATGATGCAGCGTTTAGTCTGAGTCGAGAGTTAGTTTGCCAGCCGAAAAGGCGCAAAAGAGCCATACAACATCAAGACAAGACTACTAACCTCTATACCGAATGAATTGAAATTGCAGCCCCGGGAAAATTTGTGTGCACCAAAACCAATCCGCGTCCCACCGCCAAATGTAGTCTTCCACCGTAAGCAAATCAGTCGTTACGATGCTCGGCGGGTTGCCAGTTTTCGGATCCGTTTTCGGGAACAGGGACTTGTAGAACGACTTTCCGCTTCTCCAGGAGTAGTCCGATAAGGCTAAACTTCCGCACTGCTCCGGACGATCGACAAACCGCGCTTCGATGATGACCCCACCCGTCGTGGATAACGCGACGCAGTCGACGAAGTCGCTCTTCTCCAAACTTTTCCCGGTCGAGGCGATTTCCAGGGCTTTTACCAGATTGTCCGCGCCAGAAACCCAGGTTTTCGTCAAACGAACATACGGCTTGACTTTCTGCACGCGCATCTTCAGTTTGAGAATGTAACCGAAGGACCCGAGGGAATTCGGCAGGGCGGCGAAAAGGTCCCTGTATTCGTTGTCCTTCGTAACGGTTACTACCCGAGCTCCTGATAAACCACTACCACGACTACCACCAGCTCCAGTTTTCTTCTCCTCGTTCTCCTCCTCCTCCTCGTTGTCGAAAGGCAACAGAATATCAGCTGCGACGAGCCCCTATGCTGTGCAAAAGTATCGCATTCGTATAAATGCAAGTCTTGCATTACAAATCTTTTTCTTAAGGCAAATCGGCATTACAAATTTTATTTCTCATGCTGAGAAAATTTGTAATGCATTTATACGAGTACGATACTTTTGCAGTTCATAGTCCCTCGTGGAAGAAGCCGTGCTTGAAGGAACTGGATTCCACCCCAATTCCGACAATCGCCCCGCCGACCGTGATGGATCGGAGTTCGGGGACGACTAGCGGCATGTAGCCTTTTTCTAGTAGGACAGACACAAAAGTTTCGAACGTCGTGCTGGCTTCCACCTCAATTGTAGCGTGGTAGGGAGAATAAAAGGAGTTGGGGTCTTCTTCGCCGCTGTTCCTGCTGTCTTCCGATACAACTGGATCCAAAGTTTCGTCAATCACGTGGCAGAAGCTAGACAAATCCAACTTTCCCTCCTTGCTTGCCCGCGTGTCGATCTGGTCGTGGCGGAACGTGTTGCTTGCGGTCTGTTTGAACATCCGGAATTTCCCGCTTTTGTCTCGACAAATTTCCTTCGCCACTACTTCCACCTGCTTTTTCCTCCGCTCGTACGACTCTTTCGTGGTCGACATCTGGTCCCGAAGTAAGTTCCCGGTCTGCTGGTCCCGTTTCCCAATGTCGTCCGGGCTGATATAGTAAAACCGGAGGTAGAACCCGAGGAGGAAAACAGCGGTGATGAAGGAGCCGACGAACCGGGTAACGACGGGGAAATACCCGGTGGGGTCGAAGTGGATGTTTCTGTAGATGTAGAAACTGTTCACGACAATCATTGTCACACCCGTGGCAAACAATTTGTCGTAAACGACAATGGGGAAAATCGGGAAGACCATCTTTGTTCTTTGGGGGATTTTTTTATACTCTTTGCGATATTTATGAAAGCGGTAATGGAGGAAAAAATGCTAGTGTACAGAACAAGCTGTAACTGACCCAGAGGCAGATGAACCGCTACTCAGCTATGATGTTGACCAAAATTTATTTTGCTTTTCGTACTACTTCGCCGCTTCTAGTCGGAAAAAAAGCTCTACTTTAACGTCTGGACTCAAAACTCAAAAGGGAAAAAAGTTAATGGCACAACAGACAGCACTATCAGCAGTCATTCTCAAAGACAAAAAACTACACTCGGAGCGGTGGATATGCTCTGCGTGTCTGTGCTGGTGGTCCTTGTGGTACATTCAGAGCATCCGTGTCCGAAAATGTCGGTCGTCGGTGAAGGTGGAGCAGAAGAATTTAGGAAAAGGAATACACGACTCGGCATTATATCTTCAGGCTTTATCTCATCCAGACTGAAATTGCAGCACTTCTTGGGGATCTTCCGACTTCTTATGACCGTCGTTGCTGCAGGTCTTGCCGTGTATGTTGGATCATGATCGTTTTCTTCTTGCAATTTCCGGGTTTACTTGGTTGAAAGATTGAAACGTAGAGCTCCACGGCACAAAGCCAAGTACAAGCGCCAAGCAGTGATCTTCTTCCACATAACTAATTATTTGCCTTAGAGGAACAGCCGTGCTAGCCCAGAAAAAAGTCAACACAACTTGAGGTGCGAGATGAACAATTGCGCTTGTTGCCGAAAACAAAAAATCTTCCCTCCATGAAGATGTCGGTATTTCGGTTTCGTTTTTGTCGCTGAAATTTCATTAGATGTGAAACGGGGTCGATGAAGCGAGCCGGGGCTAATATAATCGTCGACGCGCCATCTTCATCTATGCATTTAATGATGTAAGAACCGTATAAAGATTCATCTTCCTCTACTTGATACGTCGCCAGAGTTGTGCGGTTGTACTAGTTTTTCTCTCGCTTGTTGTATGATCCTCGCTTAGTCAACAGCATTGTGTAGCTGCTCTCTGCTGCTCTTTAGCTTGGAAGCAAAAACTACAGCAAAACATCAAAATCACCCTGTTTTCTACCCCCAAAAATCGGCGCGTGTAACAAGTCCTTGGTTGCACACTCGGGCGGCCAATCGTCGTAGCAGTAGTTGTGGTGAAGAAAAGTCCCTTTTTTCTTCGGAAGATTTGTAACGACGGGGCGCGGGTTGGAGCGGCGGGCGTGCGAACTACCGGATACAATCGGCAGAGGTGGCATGTGCGTAGTGTAGTCCTCCTCGCAAGTGAAGATCACAAGAGCAGGGCGGCTTGCTTGCTATGCATATATCATGCTGCGACGTCGATGATCTTCTGATGTCTTTATTCCTCATCCTTCACTAGATCTCCTTCATCCGTTCTCCCACCGTTTTCTGCCCGACGTCGTGTGGTCCACCTTCCCCGCCGACCGCACCGCTCACAGCTCCGGCCCCAGACGACTCCCCGCCCGCTGCTTTCGCCGCTGCAAAATTCTGCTGCTGCTGCTGCTGCTGTCCCGTGACGCCACCAGTACTCGTTCCACCTCCCGCTGCGTTTGACGTCGTTTCCTGCGGCAGTTCCACGTGGATCAAGTCGTTCGCTGCGAGGATTTCCAGCACATTATCCTGTGCAAAAGTATCGCACTCGCATTGCAGTCATGCATTACAAATTTTTTTCTTAAGGTAAATCCGCATTACAAATTCAATTTCTCATGCTGGGGAAATTTGTGATGCATTTATACGAGTACGATACTTTTGCAATGCGTACACATTCCCGGCGGTCAACGCAACCTGATCCGTGCCGGCGGTGAGCTCTATTTCCCTGATTTCTCCGTCTGGCATACGCACCCGGAGGACGGGCTGCTTCGTGTTAGTGTTGCTGGTAGTACTACTTGTACCACTTGAAGAAGATGATGTTGATGTCGTTGTTGCACCAGATGATGAAGCTCCACCTGCTCCCGATCCTGTAGTTGCCCCGCTAGTACTTGTAGTTCCTCCACCTCCCGCAGCACTTGCACCCGCCGCTGCGTTCTTCTTGTTCACTGCTTGGGTAATGACCTCGGAACTCAAAAAGACCTCGCCCTTGTCCCGCATGAAGTCCTCCACATTCTGCTTCTGGTCTCCGAACCAATTCAAGTTATCGGCGATCAAATGCCGATTCTTGCAGTTCGAGCAGGTGACGATGACGATCCCGTTGTGGTACGAGTTTTTGGAGATTTTCTTCGCCTCATATCGCACAGAAAAAAGCAGGCAGGTCAGATTTGTAATGCAAAAATAGATAGACTAAAAAAAATGGATTGCGTGTCCTAAATAGCATGCTGTGGGGTTGCCCATGACACATTTTTCTGCGTATTCATTTTTGCATTACAAATCTGCCCTGCCTGCTTTTTTCTGTGGGATACCTCGCGGTGTTTGCACACGTCGCAGGTGTAGGCCAGGATGTACGCTGCGTTCTCCTTCGTGCCGGGAAGGGTGAAGCCTGATTTATTGTGGTGTGTGGATTTGATAGAGGAAAATTCTTGTTCATGTCTCGGTTGTTCTCGTTTTTCGCAGGCGTTCAACATGCATTCGCATACTAGAGAAAAGTGTGGTCATGAAATTGAAATTCACAGGAGACAGATCTGGTCCAAGAATCGTTCAACATTCATTCGGAGACGTTGAGTGAGGGTTCTTCTTCTCTGACAATGCCGTTCTATCTAAACTACTTCAAATTCTACCTGCACTGTTCGCGGCGGAGGAACTGCTGGAAGACGATGGGCTCGACGTTGACGTAGAGAACTGCCTTATCCTGAGTAAAAACGTCCCCACACCAGAGTCAGGATGGGGATTTTGCAACACAAGCCTAGGAGTTTTGTGAGTCACGCATGACAAATTGCACTCCGCAGTGTAGTGCAGGTTAGCGAGTGCAGCCGCATCACAGATTCATCTGCCCATCCTGTTCACAGCATCACAAATTCCAAAACACGATTGGCAATGGCTCTCATGGGGATGCGCATTACAAGTCTTCCTGTCTTTGCAAATCTGCATTACAACTCTGGCGTGGGGACGTTTTTACTCAGGATATGCCTCAGGTCGTGCGCGCTCGTGTTCGCCCGGTAGAGAAAACCGTTGGAAGCACTGCTAGAAATTGTGCTACTGGTGCTAGCCGGTCCTGCAGTAGCTGTACCTCCTCCGCTCCTGTTCGTTTCCAGAACAATCCTGCTACACCTGCTTAGCCCCGCACCCATTAGCGGCTGCATCTGCCTGCTGGGAGCTACTGCAGCTGTTGCTCGTGCTGTAATTGGCAGCGCACGGGTACTAGACGAGATTGTCCGCGCAGGCTGGAGTTGCTGTGCCTGCCGCAGTGCCTGCCGCGAGCAGGTGGAGGTGATTCGCTGCGCGAGTTGCTGTGCCATGGTGCGTAGGGCTTGGAGCTTGTATATATGATTCGTGGTTTTATATATTTAACAAGGGCACTAAACTCGGGAGGAGTTGTAAAGACAGCTCTACTGGATGAAAATGAAATCTTTGCTTCTACGCAGAATCACGAATCATGAACAAAAATAGATCATGCAAGGCGGGAAAGAAGAAGCAGCTTCCAATGGCGAGAAGTGCAGCGCCTCTACCGATTTTGGAAAAGAACCAACTGTAGAATAGGGAGTGCCTGTGGTCAGGGGTCAAGAAATTTCATTTGTAGGGAGAGCATATACTCGTCTCGGGCACAAATTGTCCTCTCGTAGTACTTTGGCTGAAATCTTTCACGACGCGGTGAAAAAAACTATTTCTGCGAACTGTGCTGTATTCATCTCCTCGTTTTGGTTATATGCTTTTCAACATCTTCTCACAACTCGGGTCGTCTGTGTCTACTAGCAGTAGCGTTTTTGTTTGCGGAGAGCTCCTTTCTGATCTTCTTGTTTCTCTTTTCGTGGTAAGTCAGTGCCACGGCTGCAAACTTGAAGAATAAAGTCGTTGCAGATTCATTTTGCTTCTCTTCCGCTCGGAGTCACCTGGCGAAAGAGTCTTTCACGTCTGCTGGCTTGGTCCTAGCACTTTTAGAGGGGGCACGACAAATCGAAAAAGAAGATGATGAACACGCGTCAGCAATTATCTTCGTCGTGACGCGCAGCATTGAAGCTGAAAATGTCAATTGCAATGTCTATTCTACTCACTCAGTCAATTTGAGATGACATCACATCATAATCATTCATCAGAAACATAAAGACACTTATTTAGATTGTGCCCGAAAAAAAAAAACCATCTGCTGTTCTAGAATCTGATGTAGTAGAGACATGCTGGTGGCCCGCATACGCGTTGCCACATGAAGAAATTCTAGAAACCCATAACTCACGAAATAGCCAATTAAACGTCTCCAAGTACTAAAAGCTTTAGCACAAAACGCAGGATTGACGCGGAGGTTCTTGTGGTGGACAAAACAAAAGCCACCCGAGGATGATGACCATGGCGATGAATCCATCTAGGAACATCAAGCGAGGAACGAATGAATCCATATGAATGCCAACATGGCCGTAAGTATCCACTTCCAATATGAACTGCAAAAGTATCGTACTCGTATAAATGCATCACAAATTTCCTCAGCATAAGAGGTAGAATTTGTCATGCGGATTTACCTTCAGAAAAAAAATTGTAATGCAAGACTTGCATTCATACGAGTACGATACTTTTGCACAGGATATCCAAGAAATAGCAGCAACGCCCGTGGAGAAAATCTTCGTCCCACCTCGCCTTCCCCCAGCCGCCCGTGAAACGTCGCAAGTCCCAAATCGGCCCACTTTGCCCGCAAACACATCTCTATCCGCGTTTTCCAGAATGTTCGTCACAATCGTGCTTTCCGGAACAGATTTTCTCTCGTACATTTTGAGCCCTAAATCCCAGAGCATGGCCGTCGTGTCCAACGATCCCAAGTTCGGGTCGGTGTACACATCGTGCCCAATCTGCTTCAACGCGATTAGTTTGACGTAATTATTTCTCTGCAGCTCTTGGGAAGAAGTAGCTGTAGAACTGGTACTTTGCCCACTGGTTACCACAGTTGTCACTCTAATTCCTGGTTGGCAATTCTGCAACTCATACGTGGTTCTCACGGGCTTTGTGTTTTCTACAGGGGTGGAAGTTATCACGACGCCATTTGAAGATGTCCCGTCATTCCATTCCCCGCACTTGTTCAGTTTTCCCCACAGTTTCACGTTGTCGAAAGCATTTGGGGTGAACGTCGTTTGGGGATTCAAACGGTCCAACTCGCCATGGATTTGCAGGAATGGAGTGCTGTGGAACAGACTCGAAGTGAGTGTATTCGGCGGCACGTCAGACAATGAGTGAACGTGCTTGACGAGCTCCGCGTGATCCTCATAGGCAATCATGTTTCCCGCTTGACACGCGACGGCGGCGACCAGTTGCGAGTCTTCGAAGGCGAACCGCTGGGCCATCATGCACCCGTTACTGTACCCCGTGAGGTAAATTCGTTTTGGGTCGATTTTCGAGCTCCCTGAAACATTCGCCTGTGGCCGCTGCATCTCGTAGATTTGCTTCACCATCTTCCGAATGAAACCCATGTCGTCAATGTGGGCGGTTTTTGAGACAGAATCGGGTCCCAAACACGCACTCCCTGCGGCGGACCAAGTAGGCATCTGGTTCACAGCCGTCGCCTGCGGAAACGCGACCAGGAGATAAAAATTGCCGGTATTTATTGGTGTCAAAAGGTTGTCCGCAATGGTCTTCCACCCACTTGTCTTCGCATGGTCGCTCGCGCAGCCCCTATGAATTGCAAAAATGTCTGGGTCTGGAAGATTCCAACTTGTCATGGTAAATCTGAAGCATGAGAAAATCTGTGTTGCATGAGTGCCAAAAGCCGTACACTTTTGACCAAGTTGGAGGGGAGTTTCTCATGCAGGATAGGCATGGCAGAGACCTCGCCGAGTCTGTCATGCTAGGCCCCGCATTCCAGACCTCATGGGTGGGTCATGGAAAATCTGCATGACAAGTCTACACTTTTCCAGACCCAGACATTTTTACATTTGATAACCCCCAAATCCGTGCATATCGATCACGAGCGCGGGGGGTTGCATGGTGCTTTGCACCTTGTTCGCAGACGGGTCATACAGGTAGTAACACCTCTGCCCGCGCTGGTGGGTCACACAGGCATACGTCACGATTGGCGCAGTTCCCCAGGCTTGCAAAGCGGCCGGGTCCGCGCACGCGTTTGACTTGTCCGGCGGTTTGTTATTCGTGGCTGAAGAGGTAGAGGTCGCTGTGCTGCCCGTGTTGCTGTTAGAGGTCGACGACCACGCTCCTGCTGTACTACCAGACCCTGTTGTTGAAGAGCTAGTACCACTGTTAGACCCTGTTGTGCCGGTCCCTGTATTTGATGCGGATGTTGCCCCAGTAGAAGTTCCACCTGTACTTGTCGTAGTTTTACCAGTGTCTTTGTTCTCGTAGTCCTTGTCTCCTGTCGCACTAGACGCTGAAGAACTGGTTCCACTAGTGCTATCCTTGCTCCCACTACTACTGCTCACTGTTCCCACCGGACACCCAACCGAAGTCCATTTCCCAGATATAGAATTCCAAATTTCATCCCGCAAACGACATACAAAATGCATGGCAAATTTCGCCAACTTACAGTGTACCGGTTGTCATGCTGAAAAAGATTCATCGACATCATGCAGAAATAACCGAAGTAGCAGCTGTATGTGGAATACGGGAAATTTCCCATGCATACCAGCGCTGTCCGTGCACCAGGTTTGTCCCGTGCTGGTGTTTACCCAGTTCCCATTACTGTCGTAGGCCCATTATGCAGTGCAAAAGTTATCGTACTCGTATAAATTATGCATTACAAATAAATTTCCTCAGCATTACAAATCAAATTTGTAATCAATGCTGATTTACCTTTAAGAAAAAGATTTGTAATGCATAAATGCAATTACTACGAGTACGCTACTTTTGCAGCCAGTGCATACCCAGCCGCCAGTGTCCTTGTTGTCGTCCTTGTTCTGCGCTCTGATTCGGAAGATTTTCACGTGGGGGTCGTGGCTCATGGAAAAAAAGGTCGCAACGGTCGCGAAGAAGAGTTTTGTCCGGGTGGTGCAGACGCGCCCTTGATGTTGCCGAACGGTAGTTCCTGACAACGCCATCTTTGTTCTGTGTCGGCTTTGCGGCAGAAAGTTACTTAAACTTGCTCAAACAGAGCACGCGACGAGGTGGGCGTAAATCATGGGAAGCCACATCTGTGTGGAGGGGTTCTTTTCGGTTTATTGATCTGATTTTCAGCGGTCAGAAGCGACTACTGATTCTTGCTCTCTGATCGAAGTAGAATGCGTGCAGTAAGAGCAGGACAAATTTTTGCATTGGTGTCGCCAACAAGAAGTTCGATGGACATCAAACGATGCCTGCAGATTCTGTGGTAAGGAATGAGGATACGCTCTTGACTTGCTTGTAATGCTAATGCCTTGCAATACGCACGGCGTGGTGTGATCATGGATCCTTCACGACTTATGGGCAGGCGCGAGGAGGACGATCGTAACGTTATTCAATAATATGTGGGTCCTGGTCTACCGATGGAATTGAAAACATGAAATTCGAATTCGTTATGACCACCGATGAAAAACAACAAAACACGACTTCTGAGTCATTGCAAATGTGAAAAACAATATAATTTTCGGGCCAAACCGAAAGTAGCCTCAGCTTTTACCACAATAAACACATACTACACAGGAGATGATGCACGATATTACCGATCAAGATAAAGCAGCGAAGCCACCTTTTTTGTCCAACCCTGTCATTGCCGTCTGAACACGACTATATGATGAAGATATACTGGAAGGGACGATATCCAGTTCTGGCGGAGTTCTTTATCCTCGGTTTGTTTTTGTTGCACCTCTCGTTCTTTTATCAATGCTTTCTCGCTATCGTTGCTCAATCAGAAAGCTCTCATTGTACTTCTTCAGTGGTGACACTATAATTCTTTGGCCTTCTGAGTGGGATTTGTTTTTCTGGGACTAGCTGCTCGTAGAGCAGAAAACTCGTCCGCACAGGTCCTCATCTTCGCGACCCATCAGAAGTAACGTATCACTGCCCCTGCTTTTTCTTTTCCGCCAACACAAATTTCCTGAATTCATGAATGTCGCCGTCGAATTTTGTCGCCGTGTTGTCGTGCACATGCCAAACTTATGCGAGTGCAAAACTCCCTCGCCTCCCCCTCATTTGTCATGCAAAATACCAAACTCACACCTTGCTCGTAAGCACTGTTAGCATGACAAATTTTGGAACCTCAAAGAGTACTACGACCCGCGCGCAGATTTGTAGACATGCGGAAGTCACATTTCTGCTGTTGCTTGTATTGCTGTTCATGCCATACAAATGAGGGGGAGGGGGAGTTGTACACTTTCATAAAATTTCGTCGCACACCGCGTTGATAAAGTGGGAGTCGTGGCTCACCATGACTAGCCCGCCTTTGAAAGCAGTCAAGGCAGCAATTAGGGCTTGGATGGCGTCTGTTTTAGTTTTTTTAGCATTTTTAATTCCTTCGGTGCGCGAGCTAGTTCATTGTATGATCATTGTTCTAGTGCGGCCTCGCTTCCATGCTTGCTTGGCATGGAAATGGAAATGAGGCTGTCGGCAATTTTCAGGACACAGTCGTGTAGCTAGGTGAGCATGCACTACAACAGCAAGTCGTCCGTGAAGGTTTTCCAGCATGACAAAATCATCTGTATAAACTGCACAGCATGACAAAATGAATCGTCTGTACCTAAATCCAAGTGATTTGTCGGCTCGTCCATGACCAGAATGTGTGGATTTGCGTACGCCAACAACGCGAGCGCCACTCGGGATTTCTGACCACCAGTATGCATGCTAAATTGGTTTTCCGCACGCGTACAAATGCGGTTTCTGCATGACAAAACTCGCCTTGCTCAATCCTTCTATTCAGCATGAAAAGTGGCACATTCTCAGTTGGCGATCATTAAACTTGTCATGCAATTACAGCAATTTGTACGTCGTGTACGGGAATCAATAAATTTGTATTGCATACCCGGAGAGCACATACAATGGCTCCACAGCGAGGCTCTGCATCACACCGAAACGCCCTAGCCAGTTGCGGGCGGCTTCCTCACCTGTTGAAAATTTTCATACCATCTGAAAAGACGAGTTGGAGAATTGAATAGAGTTTGGGTAGTACTGAATTTGAACAACGTTCCCACAGCCTACAAAAGTTCGTCGTGGTGATCCCTTAACTCAAGAGCAAGCGGGCACTAATTTCTTTTCGAACATAATTCAAACCAATTTCAAAAGTTTCAGACTTTCACACCCCTATGGGATGGGTGCTCACTATTTCTACCAACCTCAGAGCCTCTATCCGAGCGAGCGGCGCCAAATTTGGCACCGGGCGGCCAAGAGGCAGGCGCCATGCTCGTGAGCCCGAGGCAAACAAGCCTGCTGTGAACGGCGCGGAGGCGCGCGGTCTGCCCAAAGAAGCCCAACAATGTTCCTGTAGCTCTTCCTGTTGGAACCATCACGGCGCCACATTCAGGTGGGGGAAGATCGGCGCCAGTGGGCGGCCACGCCTGGTGCCACCACTATGTTGCGCCACCCTATAAGATAGAGCTTCGGACTTCATGCCGGCCTTTTGTGCCCCCAGGTCGCCAGCCGACAACTTCAAACGGGGATCGAGAATTTCAAATGGTGATCGAGATATTCAAACGGTGATCGAGATATTCAAACGGTGATCGAGATTTTCAAACGGCGATCGAGTCCCTGCCCCAATTTCAAACGGTGATCGAGATTCGGTCAGAAGTTGGTCCAAATTCGGTCCGTATATTAGAATCTGTGTCCAGACCGATTTTGGACCAACTTCTGACCGAATCTCGAGCACCATTTGAAATTGGGCCGCCGAGAGAAAAGTTGGCGCGGCCTCAAGTTAAAACCCTTACTGCAATAGGCGCGCCAAAATAAGGTGGGGATTACGGTGGGAAGTCATCTGTTGAATGGCAGCCGCGACGGAGATTTGGAAAAGAAATAGAAGCAGATGTGCAAGCTGGAAGCCGCCATAGGCTTCCGCGTCGGGGACAAAAAGCTCGACAAGGGCCGAATCATCTCGCGGCCAGGGGAGCACACATGACTTTGCGGCCCCTTAAAAAAGGCCGCAAACAATTGAACCCGAAGTGGATGACGGTTGGAAAGGAAGGCGAAATGGGCCACATGTGGCACCCTTGAGCCCCACCCAACGGAAACCTAGAACGCTGCCCATGAGTGGCTTCGAGCGGGCGCAAAAGCGTCGCCCTGAGTGTCCCATGCGGCCCGTGGTTTGCTTCTGTTAGAGAGGAAGACCCTCAATCCGAAACTTTTGAAATCGGTTGGAAATGCGTTATCTTTACTTTTAGCGCCGCCTGCTTCTGAGTTAAGTGATCCCGTTAAAATATCAAATATCACACCGCGATCTCTGTCCGCCACAGCGACAGCACCGCAACAAATAAACAAAAAAACAAAAATGTCTTCATAAATTATCACACCTTCGTTCATCGCCTTTGGGTATCTTTCCATTAGATTCTGGATGGAGTTTATCCAAGAAAAAAAGCGTGTAAGTGTAAACTTTTTTGCAGGAACAGCATCACAGATTTGGTTTCCATGACAGAGAAAACCTGTCATGCGTAGCTAGTACGCGAATACACGTATGAAAATAGCTTCTGATGCTTATCCAGCATGACAAGTGTAACTGTATTGCAACATCTGCAAGACAACGTTACACTTACACAGTTTTGTTCTTGCATAGAGTTCAGCGTCAGGTCCATCGATTCGACATGGTGCTGGGTGAAATACCCAATGCGCAGCCGGTTATATCCTGTGCAAAAGTATCGCACTCGTAGTACTCGCAATCATGCATTACAAATCTTTTTGCTAAGGCAAATCCGCATTACAAATTCAATTTGTAATGCTGAGCAAATTTGTAATGCAATTTCTACTAAGTACGATGCTTTTGCAGTTGATAGGTTGTGCCGTCGCACAATCCCAGCCTTCGGCTCGTGGTCGCCAATCAGCATTTTGAGCAAGGTATGGATTGTAAAAGTGTCTGGGTCTGGAAGATTGTAAGATTTGTCATGCATATTTCGGATCACGCAAATGGCGTCTGATGCAGGCAAAAGCAACACAGGTTCCGAGCGCGTCTCATGGTGCCTGTCCCGCATGAGAAACTTTCTACTTGCGTACCAAGAAATGGACGGCTTTTGGCGCTCATGCAACACAAATTTTTGTGTGTTCCAGAGTTTGCGTCACAAGTTCCAACTCTTCCAGACCCAGACATTTTTACATTTGATACAAGGTCGACTTTCCGCAGCCATTCTCGCCGACCAGCACGATCCGCGACTCCAGGTCGATATTCAGATTGATGTTGTTCAGGTGAAACGGCTATGAGCTGCAAAAGTATCGTACTCGTATAAATGCATTACAAATTCCCTCAGCATGAGAAATGAAATCTGTAATGCGGATTGACCTGAAGAAAAGAATTTGTGATGCATGATTGCAATACGAGTACGATACTTTTGCACAGGATAACGGCTTCTTGCTGACCTGCGACTCGGCGGACTCGTACTGAAAGCAGGCTTTATCAAATGTAAAAATGTCTGGGCCTGGAAGATTCTGAGATTTGTCATGCATGTTTTGCATGACCCAGGATGTCTGTAATGCACGACCGCGCATCACAGATTTTTCGGCCAGGGGGCTTCCTGATGCCTATTCCGCATGAGAAATACCCCCTCCACGTAGCAGGAACTGGACACCTGTTGCTGGTCATGCAATACAAATTCTTTTTGGAATCCAAACACAGCATCACAAGTTGCAACCTTCCAGAGGACCTAGACATACTTGCAATGCATAGGCTTCGTCCATTTGCAAAATCGGCGTGGGTATGCTGTGCAAAAGTATCGCACTCGTATAAATGCAGGTCTTGCATTACAAATTTCTTTGTCAAGGCAAATCAGCATTACAAATTTTCATTCTCATGCTGGGAAAATTTGCAATGCATTTATACGAGTACGATACTTTTGCAGTTCATAGTGGGCACCGGCTCCGGTTCGCCGAACATGAAAGACAAGGACGGGTCCTCGAGAATTTCGTCGAGCAAAGGTAACCGGTTCAGCGCCTTAATCCTTGACTGCACCATCGAGGCGCGTTTCGCGTTGCACCTAAACTTATCGATGAACTGCTGCATGTGCGCCGCTTCCCGCTCGTTCTTTTCGTGCTGCTTCTCGAGCAGCTTTTTGTTCTGCGCGTAGAGGGTCTCGAACGTGTCAAAGTCGCCGCGGTAGAATATCAAATGCAAAAATGTCTGGATCTGGAAACTTGTAATGCTGCGTTGGGAACATGGAATGCTCTGCAATGCACCACCAAGCATGAGAAATATCTGCGCTTCTTTGTGTTGCGTTTTTCGCATGACAAACTGCGTTTTAGCATGACAGGCAAAAGGGTCTCTTCTTGGACACGCATCACAAACTTTTTGGTCATGCCTGACAAGCATGACAAATCTCGCAATCTTCCAGACCTAGACATTTTTGCAGTTCGTATAGAAAAAGAGCTTCTGAAACTGCAGATGCGTGATGTCCGTGCAGACCTGGTGGACGAGTTTTGGAAAATAGAATTACGTCATTATCTACAACTGGATTTTCAAGCAGCTGCACTATATTCTCGCTCAAACTCTACGTTTTGTTGTAGTAAGTTCCGATGCTGATTATTATATATTTCGGCTGCGTTTTCATGAAGGATTTTAAGTATGCTTTATGCAAGATGAAGATGAACAACTGATGTCAACATGCTTTATGCAAGATTTGATGCCGTGCCCGGGCACGGAAAGAAAGAAAGAAAGATGTCAACATGCATTACTGCCATAAAAGAGCTTTATACCTCGTTCAACGTGTCCCTCTATCCTGTGCAAAACAAAGTATCGTACAAATTTCCTCTTCAGCATGTGAAATAAAATTTGTAATGCTGATTTACCTAAAGCAGAAGATTTGTAATGCATGATTGCATAAAAGAGCTTTATACCTCGTTCAACGTGTCCCTCGCGTGACTGACCATGATGATCGTCTGCGGATAGTCCTTCAGAAAATCCTCCAGCCACGCGACCGCGTGCACGTCCAGGTGGTTTGTCGGTTCGTCCAGTAGCAGGATGTCCGGCTCGGCGAACAAAGCTCTGGCCAAGGCGACCCTGGCGCGCCAACCACCGGAGAGGTTGGAGGTTCCCTGGTGCTGTCGCGCTTCGTCGAAACCCAGACCTGATTTTTGTGTTTGACCGTGAACGGTGGCTAGGGAACAAGTTCACACCAGAAATAGAGATTCGTAGTGCAGCATTACAGCATGAGATGAAAGAGAAAAAAATCATCTTCATATTCTATACCACTCAAGATCCTTCCTGCGATGTGCGGCGCGGCGTCTCCGTCAATTTCCGCCCATCTTTCCTGGTATTCCACGAGCAAATTTGCGTCTTTATCCCCGATTTTGTCCCCTAACTCCTCCAATTTCCTAATCTTTGCCTCCAAATCACACCGCTCCGTGTCCACCGCTAGCACGTGCCACAAGGCCGAATCCGAGGTCGCGAGGTGGTCGATTTCCTGTTCTACCGTCACGATATGGACATGTTTCGGGATTTTCGGGTGGTCCTTTTTTGCCAGCGTCGCGAGCAGACAGGTCTTACCCGTACCGTTGCGGCCGTGGAGACCGTACTTTCGGCCGATAACAACTTTCAACGTTGTGTCCTCGATCAGCTCTTTCCCCCCGATCGTGACGCCGAATTTGTCGATAATCAAATCCGTCACCTTCCCGATCGCGTTCCCTGTCCGATGGAGTCGCTGCGGTGCCGGAGGTTTGAGCTTCGACTTCATCCACTGTTGCATGCGGTGCATCACCGCCGCTTTTTCCTTTGTGTTTTGCGTCCGCCGCTCCTTTACCAGGTCGGAAATCGCCACCACCTCGTTGCTATACATTGCAAAAGTCTCGCACTCGTAGTACTTCTATTCTAATTATCGCAGTCATGCATCACAAGTCTGCTTCTCCTGGAGGTGAATCAACATTCGAAACTCCTTTTCTCATGCTGAGGAAATTTCTCATGCGATTTTTTTTTTATACTAAGAACGATGCAACTTTTGCAATTCATAGTTGTAGTTCGCCTTTTTCTCGCCCAAACCCATAAAGGCATCCTGGAACCCGACGGCGTTCTCGTGTCCGGTCTGGAGCATCTCGCCGAGGAGCTTCGGCGCGTTGTTGGCCTTGGTGTTCTGCGCCGCACCTCCTGCGCTTGGCGACGACCCGCCCTGCTGCAAGTTTTTATTCTTCGTAGTGGTAGTGATATTTGTGCTGCTCGGCGGATGGATCAGGAGGAGGATGTCCTTGCAGTTCTGCTTCGCGGTACCGCCATACTCTTCGCTTGATTCGAGAAAGTCCGCGAGAAGGTCCCAAAGCGTGTCGAAATCTGTCGGGTTTTCCTCTTTTATCATTTCGGCAATGTACTCTTTTTCGTCCAAGTCTGGGACGATTTGGTCCAGCGCCTCCATCGGGGAGACGGGCTTGGTGGGTGGCGGGGGGGCGACCATTTTTGTTTTTTGTCGTTAGGGTAGTGAAGGTAGTTGAGGCTACGCTGACTGGATAAAAACTTGGCCCCTTTTGAAGTCGAAATGTGATGTTGTTACGAAGCTATTGTGCTGTCACAGAGTGCCGCCTGACGCGAGAAAGATACTCAGAAGAATCAGCGACCATCAACATCTTCAATAATAAAGACCAATTCGTTTCGTCGATTTTTCTAAAGACCTAGTCTCTTCCAACAGAAAATGGCACCAGCGACCACATCCGTATCCAAAAATCAATTGTGTGCTCGCTTCTTTAGGCGAGCGAGTGACTGTTGTACGTGCTAATTGAGTTCCTGAGAGTAAGTGGCTAGCACACTGTGTCTCAACAATATGCTACCAGTACTTGACCAAAAAACATCCGTTTTGATGTCGAACAGCCAAGACTGGGGAGTCGCCGCGGAAAAGCATCACCGGAGTGCTACCAGTCCTTGGCTTCAGGTTGGACTTTCACTACCGCCTCATCCGTGATAATCCTACCAGCCTCCACACAGCCACGAGGTCCAAAACAAGCCGCCTCTGCTTGCCCTTCCTCGCGTCCAACAGGTGCCTCAAAGCTGGCAGGTCCTAAGAGAGCCTCCTCTGCTCTCCCTTCCTGTCAACACCGCCGAAGCCGAGGCTTGAGCGATGGCACGCAAACGCCACCAGGGGACACTGGAAAACACGAAGTTACGCCCAGCATCGCCTAGTTGCCTTGCCCCTAAACCCTTCCCTTAACCCTTTACATCCTTTTGTGCTCATCCTTTCGGATTTGTCGCTGAGCTTTCTTTACTTTATTTTGCGATCTTTATATTTTCTTATTTTTTTTTGCCTTTGAAAAACGTGATCTATCGATCTTTCCTGGGACCAAAAACGTACTGTCGGATCTGGTGTAGTCAGTTTCTTGTTGGAGACACCGCGGGGAGCTGTTTGCTGCTATGATCCTTTTCATGCTTTGAACACCTTCTTCACGATAGTCCGCTTCTGGCTATTGGCCTCCTGCGTGTAGTAGCTGTAGATCAAGAGAGCGCCAACACAAAAAAAGCTTTGAACTTGCTGTAGATGATCATGTTATTGCTCGTCATTGCATTGTGCGCACACACAAAATACGTGGATCTTCGGGCTTTTTACATTTCTACATATGAGCTTCTTCTTTCGCATCAGTCGAGGTGGACGAACCAGATCTCATCAGTCTCTCACTTGAGGCCTGGCAGAATCCGAACTTATGAACTTGATATAGAGTGGTCTGCGGAACAGAGACACAAACAGAATGAATTTCGCGCAGACGATACTGCATCGATTTCTTTGCTGTGGCTCCGTACAAGTAGCACCAATACAATACATTCAAGAGTCACTGCTGTTCATATCCAATCTGGGTTTGCTTTTGCCCTCTTCACTGACCACGGTGCTGTGGTCTATCCGTTTGCGATTCGGTGCAAGAACATCTTTCACATTTATATATACGAAACAAATACAACAGTCGCCTACGTGTAAGGAAATGCTATCAACAAATACAAGCTCATATCTGTAAATCATAAACAAGTCGAGCAACTGGCAACCTCGTCATTATCAGTTTTTTCATTATCACTATATATGAAACAACATTTGGTAAAAGAATAACATGCACAGACCCCACCTCCCTCGCGGTAACATCTTCACGAATCTCGGCATGCAGAACACCGAGAAAGCACCTCTAGGAGATCTTGGCTCGCTGCAGCACTTCCCTTCCGTCTCCACAATGCTTCCATTCCGCGCGTGTAAGTAGAAGGCCTGAAAGCGTAAGCGCGGACAAGCACAAGGATACCTGTATTAAGTTTTTTTTAGGATGACGATGAAAAAAAAACGCAAAAAAAAAAACCCTACAGCACGACCAAATCTGCATGATGTGAGAAAGCAACACGAACTGCAACACCAGTGCTTTATACCTTCCGGCAACGATGATCTCCATCACAGAAACGCTTTAGCAGTCCTTCTTGTCTAGTGGTCTCGCAGGTACATGTCAACAACCCGCTAGAGGCCGCAGTGAATTCCTATCTAATCTTGTTACCGAGGCATCTGGGGAGTCAAGAGGAGTGTCCGTGGTCCTGTTTTAGTTTTAGAGAGACCTCCACAGTTGTAAGCATGAAATATCAAGCTCGGGCTTTTTTTCTTTTACTTTATTCCTACATGTTGCCGATGTCGACTGTTGCTGTTCATCTTTGTCAGTTTCTGCATAATTAGTGACAAACATCAAAGATGATGCTGTGCATGGACAATCAGCAAAGTGCTGACGATATCCTGTGCAAATGTGCCTAGGGGGTAGGATAAGGACAAAAAAAGTTAGCGAAAAGTTGGAAAAAAGCCGGTGTTGAGGTTGGTTGCGAAGCTGGTGCCGAAGTTGGTGCCGAAGCTGGTGCCGAAGCTGGTGCCGAAGGTGCCGCGGCTCAGAAGCCCGATCCCCCGGGGCGGCGGCTCCTCGTTGGGCCAGAGGCCGGGCCCGAGATAGGCCGAGCCGGCTAGGACAGGCGGGGCTCGGCCAGAGATAGACTTGGCCGGCCAGAGGCCGGGCCAGGCGCGGGGCCCGAGGTTCCGCCTGGCGCGGCGCCGGAGGTGGAGCAAGAGGCTGTGTGATCATAGGGTAGGCACAAGTGAGGTTGGGCGGCCAGGGGCTCGGCCAGAGGTTGGGCCAGTGGAAGAGAACGCACCGGAGAAGGCAAAATATCCACAAATGACAAGCGGATGCCAAATACACACAAGCAGGTTTTTTTGCAGCCAGCACGCAGGAAGCTAGTGCGTGCGGGCTGCAGAGGTTCGCACTTGTGGGCAGTTTCCAAACGGCACGCTCGCCATTTCCTTTATCGCCCGAGGCGGATCGTTGCGCGCACAAGCTAGCTAGGTCGCCAAAGCGAAGAGCTGGCGAGAGCTGGCAAAGAAGCTGTTAGGAGTGTCGCCTTCCATCCTACCAGCTTCTCTACCAGCTTCTCCACCAGCTTCTCGACCAGCTTCTCCGACTACAATCTGGTCGGGCCCCCACGCAAAGTAGCATTTTTCTGCGATAAAAATGATTTTTTTTCCGCGAACATCACGGCACTTCCAAACGCCTTCGTTGTTTCGACGAAGGTGCTTGAAGGCGCCGCGCTGAGATGAAGAAGACCCAAGGCCGTGGCTGAGAAGCGAAGGACTTGGTAAGGCGTGACGAATGCGCGCGCTTCTGCGTACTCACAAAAGGCCATGGTATGATTGCGAATTTGTTCGCAAGTGTAAATCTTTGCAGCCAACACGCAGCAATTTACTGCGTGCTGGCTGCAAAGGCTTAAAGCTGTGGCCTATTCTGGCCTTAAGTTCTTGCAACGAAGCAAACAAGTCATCGCGATTGGGGTTTCGGGCGGGCCTTTCGGGCTACGCCGAGAAATTCGCTCCAGATCCCACTTTCAGCAACGGGCCCCAGAACTTTGGGTCCGTTGCCGCTGAAAAAAGCGCTGCAGCAGCAGCAGGCGGCGGCCTGCCCCCGACAACGCCCCCCCCCCCGTGGACTTCTTCATGGCAAGATGATGCTGTGCATGGACAATCAGCAAAGTGCTGATGACCACCATGAAACGCTTGACGCTGACCGCTGGATCATTGCGCCACAACACATACAGTAGCCATCGGGGATTTCATGCAAGCAAGGCCGTGGACAGTGGCGGCTTCCTGTCCCGGTAGGTCTAGTTCAAGTGTTCAGCCTCGATGAAGCTCAAGTACTGACAAACAGTAAAAAAATACGCCTGCTCAAGTAGTGAGACAAGCATATCGGCACTCGATCTCCACATCTCCACTTTCGTGCCCCGCTTCTGCTTCCCTTCGGTGGCGTAGCAGGAAAGACAAATCATCGGGTTTGGGTGCTGCTACAGAAGTTCACGTCGGAAATCGCAGCGCGTGTTGCAAACAGGTCGAGTGGCCCAGATGAAGGATGTGCCTGAAGTAGTTGTGGTGATTGTCATCTTCCATGTCGTTGTGCTTGAGGTTCAGTAATGTCAGTTTTGATTCTGTAGGCCGAGAGGCGAGGTTTTGATTTGAGTGATGTCAGTTTTGATTCTAGTGGTAAACTCATGACCAGAAAGAAGTCGAGCAAGTTGTAGCTTCGTTCATTTTTATTTAATTTTTTGATTTAAATTATTATAATTTTTTGGAAAAAATACACGTAGTCCTGGTCGTAAAAGCCATCTACTCACTGTCGTGCGTACACAACGCAGTTTCCTATTCCAAAACGCTTGCTCACCCGATATCCCGACATCTAGCGTTCGCGGCTGATGGTTTGTGTGTGGCCATCCACCCCGAAGAAGAATTATTCAAATGAGAAGATCGCGAAGTTTTGTTACTTAAGGTTGCTCAGGGACCGGCTGTTCTGTATGATCCATTCTCCAAAGAAGTGCTGGCTGTGAAGTAAGACGTGATAGAAGACGCGCCTTGTGCTTCTCCTGCTTCTAGTTCTGGTGAAGATGTGCTACGAATTATTGTTCGATCCCGTCAATAGTATTCTTGTTCTTGGTCATTTTTTTGGTTCAGGTGGGGGAAGATGTTAACTTTTGTGCTGCTGCTACATCAAAAATGTTTCGGGCTCTCCCTCCTGGCGCCGAGTCATGCGTCGAAAGATTTTACCGCAGCACAGGTCCACTAGTACATCTCGCACGCTCGATTCATGTTCTTCTTCTACTAACTTCATACTGTTTTTATTATCTCCGTCACCGTCTCACACATCTACTTACGTGTCTCCGTCTCCGTCTTCGTCTCCGTCGGTCTCCGGTTTCGTTCCGTCTCCGTCCTCTCCGTCCTCTCCGTCCTCTCCGTTTTCTCCGTTTTCTCCGTTTTCTCCGTTTTCTCCGTTTTCTCCGTTTTCTCCGTTTTCTCCGTTTTCTCCGTTTTCTCCGTTTTCTCCGTTTTCTCCGTTTTCTCCGTTTTCTCCGTTTTCTCCGTTTTCTCCGTTTTCTCCGTTTTCTCCGTTTTCTCCGTTTTCTCCGTTTTCTCCGTTTTCTCCGTTTTCTCCGTTTTCTCCGTTTTCTCCGTTTTCTCCGTTTTCTCCGTTTTCTCCGTTTTCTCCGTTTTCTCCGTTTTCTCCGTTTTCTCCGTTTTCTCCGTTTTCTCCGTCCTCTCCGGTTCTGGTTCCGTCTCCGGGTCCGACCAGCTTAGATGGCGAGGGGTTCTGTCCTGACTTTCCTGCACCGCCGCTCAAGCTCACATGCGGGAGCAAGGTGGAGAAGGACTTCGTGATTCCTGATCCTGCGCGGGTGGGGAATTTGGCACTCAGCTTGTTCTTGTATCCTGTGCAAAGGTATCGCATTCGTATAAATGCAAGTCCCACAATTATTAGATTAGAAATGTCACTGAAGGAAAAAAGGTTAGAAAATTTATTTTTGGTTGTATTTTTTCCAATTCTTGGAAAAAATACATATTTCATTCTATCTTTTCTTTATCCTTATTTTCTTGAGGCAAATCCGCATTACAAATTTCATTTCTCATGCTGAGGAAATTTGTAATGCATTTTTACGAGTACGATACTTTTGCAGTTCATATCATGGAAGCTGTTGGAACTAAAACGAGGCTGACGGGAACACCGCTTTGCAGCTGATCGAAAGCGGGAAGCTCTGGTAGCGGCGCAGTGCTAGCCAATGTTGGGGTGTGCGGAAGACGGGAACGCTGCGCTTCCGAAAACCAATCGTGCCCGAGAGCGATGGCAAGCCCCGGCTTCACCATCGTTTTTACTCCTTGTTGTGGCTCGTGCGACTGCAGATTCTCCTACTTGTTCACCGCAGACCTTCACCACTTCACACTCAGGCTGACGATTCAGAGTTCCATAGAGATGCGCAATGCATTCACAGATAAATCTTTCATCCGCTTCACAATTCTCCTCCTCAAACTAAGATTTTTGGGAATACAGCAGAAACCGCTCTTCTTCCTCTTCTGCACTTCTTATGTATGCATCAACGAGCGATGAAACCCACACAACTGTCTTCCTTCTCTCCATCAATCCCTCAACAGCTCGTTCTCGAAGTATATAGCCACAAAAATGCAAGCCACATAAGACTGGGCCGCTCTCCGATCGAACTTATATAAATATATTTGAAGCGAACCACCAAACGTTACACTACAGACGAATTCGCACACGAGGATGTCGCGAACAAGGGAATCCATCTCCAATGACCCTCGGGGCACTTGCTTCACAACGAGATGAAAGGTTGTTCATACTGTCATTGCAATTTGAGTTTTTTGCTTTGACCACAGCACGAAGATTGCGATCGATATTTTTTGCGATTTCAAGCTATTTCGGAAGGTAAAATCTCGACCCTTCGATATTCCAAAATGATCTGTTTCGACGTCTGCAGTAGGTCGACAGTAATTCCCCGGCGAAAAGGACATCCTAGTCATGGATAACGCTACTGACAGCGACGTGCAATCTTTTTTCATATACATAGTAGTTGTGCATTATGTTATTCTTATTTACTACACTTTGAATGACGTTGTAGATGTAGTACAATGTTCGTCATGTCAAAGAACAGTGAGCATCTGCAACTAGAATTGATATCCATACGAGCTGCGGAAAAAAAAACAGCAGAAAGATTTAAGGCGCGAAATTCCACGCCCATGTATCCTCGTCAACGCGAGCAGCTAGAGCTACGCGTAAGTAACACAGTGGCTTCATCTTTCAAGAAAGTTCGATAAATTCAAAACATCTCTTCCCTCCCGCGTTCACTCGCGGCTCCCGTGCGTCAGTCAGGCTGTACTCATCCGTAGGTAGCCTTTCACAATTCCACCGGCGGAAACCCGAGATGATCCATTTGGACCTCATAGTGGTGCTACCGGGGGAAGCGGATGAAGCTGCTCCTGGAATGATGATCTCCTCGCTGCCTTTCCTGCTGTCGCCCTGCTCTAACTCTTGGAAGAAATCAAGAGAAGAAAAGTTGTCCGTGGTTTTCCTGATTTTTGCGCAAGTGGTGCCTTGTGCTGGTCGTGCTGGAGATTTGTTATTGTTTGCTGCTTCTTTATTGTTCTCGGCTGCAACTACACTACTCACCATTTCCACCTCCACATGTGCAGCAGATGTCTGGCTTTCAAAATTAGCAGCTGCACTATTCGCTCTTCTCAGATCCTCGAACGTTATCATTCGACGCTCACTTGAATTTGTTGTCCTGTGGTAATCTTTACAATTCGTTAGATTTTTTTTCGGAGGCTCGGCGGCCCGGTGCATAACAGCTCCCGGCTGCTCCCAAGCCGCGCTATTGTTCGCCCCGCCTGTGACCTGCTCCTCCGCAGCTGCCGACTCGTTCATTTGGCCATTATCTTCATCTTCAAGCCCTTCCCACGTCGTTCTTCTCAACACCGGGAATTTGCAATCCTGGATGCGAAACCTGCCCGTTGAGCTGTAGTTCGCGATCAGGGCAAGGCCGCCGCGTTGGGCTTGGGGAAGCCTGCGGCTACCCTTCCCTCTTGCTGTCGTCCGTTTATTTGTACTAGCGTGGCCAGGCGCATCGTTTTCCTCGTTCTCTGTGTCGTTTTCAGCTGACAGATATGATGATCGCGAAACAGCAGCGGCCGATGATGTTGGTGTAGAAATCCTACTTTGTGTCATTTCGTTACCGTTTCCAGCCGTAGCTCCACCACGCAGCAAACCGTTCTCAAAAAACTCCGAATTCTTAACCTGCAACGTTGGGTGGTAAGCAGTTTCGGTTGCGAGAATCGTTGAGCTTTCGAACCGGCAGTAGTGAAACCGGGTCTCGAGGGTTGGTGGGGGAGAGGACAGGACGGTGTTGCTGTTGATGTCCACCGGAACAAGTTTTTCCGGGTTCAGCGCGATACCCACGTTGAAGAAGCCGCAGTGGTAAAACTGGGGGACGGAGGTGCTGGCGGCTGTTTGTCTGCTGCGGAACGTGAAGAAAAGCGGAAATAACGCTTCGAAATCCACCAGCTGTGGAGGTCCTTCAACATCATCACTGATTGGGTCACTGTCCTGGGGTTGCCGCGACCGCTCAACTACGCGTCCTTTCCCGCCACAGTATTGGCCGTACTTGCAAGCGCGTAAAAATGCAACAACTGCAGATGACGCTGCGCAGTTCCTATGTTTTGAGACGGCGCCTTTCGTTCTCCGTGAGCGGGGTAACGACTCAATTGCAGTGCTATTGTCCGCAAGAAGCAGACAATCGCCCGGGAAAAGGACCACTTCGCGCTTCAACTCTGGCGTAGAGCAGGCATCCTCGAAAACAACTGGCCTCGACCTCCCGGAGTCTGCTTTTATCCGCACAGTTGTCCGCGGCTGGTCAAATGCAGAAATTCTCTGCTTTTGCTCGTCGTTCATGTCGTTGTGACAGCGCACCACCTGTTCCCCCTCTAGTACTTGTCCCTGCCCTTCATTCTCGAATTCATCGTCGATGCTCAGAACTTGCAAAAAGTCAGCAAATTCTTCGTTATCGCTGATCTTCACGAACTTCCTCTGTGGTCCGATGAGAATGTCGAATCCCTGCGTCTCTGCAAGTATCCTGTGCAAAAGTATCGCACTCGTAGTAATTGCAAACATGCATTACAAATTTCTTTCTCAAGTCAAATCCGCATTACAACAAATTTTATTTTTCATGCTGAGGAAATTTGTCATGCGATTTATACTAGTACGATGCTTTTGCATTTCATAGCAAGCAAGCTGTCGTGAAACTCCCGCGGATCAGCCGGAAGTTCGACCTGGTGATGCAGCCGTTCTTGAGGGCTGTTTTTCTCAACGCGACCTTTGAGGGTCCTCGGTGTGAAACAGGTGGCACTGTGGGCTGTAGTTTTTGCTGCTCTGATCTGTAGCCGCGGTGAAGCGGACCCAACATCTTCGCGGTCGGCACACAGCTGGTTTCCCGAGGAACCGATCGACGCCGAATTGTCGCTGTCGTTTTCCCCGCTAGAAGGCGGCCGACCTTTTAGACTGAGCGGAGGCGAAAACTCTGCTTCAATTATGACGCTGCGATTTTGTGCTTTGTTTGCCGGTTCTGCTGGGACTAACTGTCTTGCGGTCGATTTGTCTTGTTCCTCCTTCTGCTCCTTCATCAAAATTATCTCAGAATGATGCGCTTTCATCTCTGCTTGCCAAATTTTGATCCTTTTCTGCAGCCTTTTCCGCCGTTTTTCCACTCGAAGTTTTATCGAAGAGAGAAGAGCAGCGTTGCAAGTTGTACCATCTGCTTGTAGTTGTTCAAGATCCTGATCAACATCATTCTTCGCGGTTTCATTTTGGTTTTTCGCCAAAGCCAATACTTCTCTCCTATAAAACCCAACCACATCCACGGACCGCAGCTTCAGATCCAGCAGTGCTACTTTCGTTGCAATCCGGTCAGCTTCCTCTAACACTAAATTGTAGTAGTCCACCGCCGCGAACGAAGTAGTGCTACGAGGAGCTCCGACACTTTCTTCAAAGAAGACCGAAGACAAACGCTGGTAGGTGTTCTGCAACTTGTTCCTCTTCAGACGGGCTCTGACTCCTGGTTGTTGTTGGGTCAGGCACAATATTGGCTTTTCTCGTCTTTTCTTCCGCATCATAAAGTTCGTGTGCCTCGTGGTTCCACACCTAGATGAGAACAAGGTGGGGTTCTTGTTTTTCATTTTCTGCTTCCTCTCTAACTTTTCGCTATCAGCCCGATCCTTCGTTTTCCACCAAAAAGAATCACACACAAGTTGATTCCATTTTTCCCGCAGTTTGACCAACCGGTCCCGGATTTTCAAGATTTCCGTCAACGGATGTAGGTGGGCTGTTTCTCCAAGGTAGATTCGCGCCTCCGCTGGGTCCCACCAAGGGGAAAGATGATTTGCAGCGCTTTGTGGGGAACAAGGAAATGGACGACGCGCCGCTGGCGTCCCGATCATACCATCACCTCTCACTTCTCGGATAGCAGAAGTTGGGCGAAGACAAGCATTAGTACCCTCGTGCTTATTATAATCCTCCGCAAAAAACTCCACTGCGTCCCGCTTGTTTTGCGCCCTTTCCAGACTGGCAGACCTCTCCGTTTTCGGTTTCATCAGCAATCCTGGAAAATTACCGGTCATGGCTGCTTTTCGGACACGGTTTTTGTACCTTTCACGGAGAGAACAAGTTTTTCTGCCTTTCTTACTCGGATTCTTCTTGTTGGGCAGGCAAAAATCCTGCTTAGGATTCGCGGCTGTGACTTGGCAAGAATTCTCGTTCTTCATTCTCATCCCGAGATTGGAACCAGAGCGCCCGGACGATTCGCGCTTGCCAGCGCTGTCACTCCCGCTCCCCGACGGGGGCGAACAAGAAGTCGTGCTGTCACTGACGGCCCCTATCCACAGAAAAAAACCCATCCCCAACCATTTTTTGCATGACAAACACATGACTTGATACGTGTTTTGCATGACAAATTCGATGTGGATGGGTTTTTTTCTGTGGATAACACCCGAGGAAAAGCAACTGGCTTCCTCCTCACTATCCGGAATGCGCAACATGGTGGAAAATTGAAGCTCGGTGTCGCTGGCGGCGTCGTCCTGTGTTACTGGTACTTCGTCACCTTCTTGTTCAGTTGGTCCCTTTCTTCTGAACTTGTTCGCATCCGGTCGTGCGGCTTGTTCAGCTTCGCCGTTATTTTTCACTCCAGCAGCCCCGGTGGCGGTACAGCACCGTATTTCTGATTTAGGTGGTTTAACTTCTTCATCATCTGCTGAGCCTGAAGCAGGAGAAGTGCCAACTGTTACTACACCTGCCTTACTCCGAAGGCGTCTTTTCGACGTTTTGTTCGCCATGTCATTAACATCCCTTTCCCGCTGAAACCTGCACTGCGTAAAAAACGGGCCGACGAGCTCGTCTCGCTTGAAAGGGGGAGAAGGTGGAGATTTGTCGGCATGTGTATTTTATTGATTGCAAAAATGTTTGGGTCTGGAAGAATGCAACTTGTGATGCTATTTTGAATCTAAAAAAATCTGTATTGCATGAGCAGCAAGAGGCGTCCAGTTTTAGCTCCGCGGAGAGGGCATTTCTCATGCGGGATAGGTATCAAGATGCCCGCAAAAACATTGTGATGCGAGGGCATACATCACAGACATCACGGGTCATGCAAAATGTGCATGACAAACCTTGCAATCTTCCAGACCCAGACATATTTGCATTTGATATATTTTGCACTTGTTGATGTCCCTTTGCGACCTGCTCTGTCACCCGCCCAAACTGGTCTGGATCCAACCCCGGATGCCCGCAACAGATTTCCACCATCGGAGACTTGTAGAACAGCTTGGGCGATTTGGTTTTCTCGCGTAGTCGGGCCGTCCTACAACTTTGCTCCGCAGCAGCTCCATCGGATTCTCTGATGGTTTCACTCAGTACACTCTCATCCTCCACGACCGAGAAGCACAGATTTTTGAACCACGCCCTTTCGCCGCCGACTTCCACACGGAGCAGGGGAGGCGAGAAGATGCGAGCTAGTTTGTGCTCTTTATGCCTTGCATGGCAAACTTCCTTGTTCGTGTTGAAGTTCCGTCTTGCTGCACGATCGCTCTGCTTTGGACGCCAGCGGGCACATTTGTAGTTCCTGTTCCTCCTAATCGTAACCTTCACCGGTCCGCCCAACCGCCAGCCGTCAATCAACACGTGTTTGTTCACAACCAAAGTCTGTCTCAACTCCTGATCGGTGCGGACCTATCAAATGCAAACATGTCTGGGTCTGGAAGAATGCAGGATTTGTCATGCACAGCTAGCATGGTCTCAAGTCTGTCATGCGCGCCACACAAAAGCCACACTTCTCTGTCATGCACCACAAACGCAGTTTCTCATGCAGATAGGCAACACTATAGCAAGAACTCCAAAACTTGTCATGCTTGGCTGTCAATGAAGGCGTCCACATGATTCGCCAAACAGCATCACAAGTTTCCAGATCCAGACCCAGACACTTTTGCAGTGCATAGGACCAAAATGCGCGCAAACGGCTCGTCAAACGGAACCGCCTCAATTGCGTCGTGTAAACTCGTATCAAATGCAAATATGTCTGGGTCTGGAAGATTGCCAGGCTTGGTTGGTTGGTTGGATAGCGCCTGTCGCCGGTGCAGGTCCCGCCCTCCATCGATTGCGATCCGGAGTAGCCAGAACACAAGGCCCTAGTGGCACAATCGATCGACGAAGCCCTTTATAACCAGGTCACGGACATCCGGCTGCCGTGGAGTCATTCGCGGGCCAGGCAACGTCTAGGAGCTACGGATTAGGGATCTTGATGGGCGAGACAGGTCACAGCCATCCGCCCGCCCATCGAAGACGAGCCAGGTCACAGTCATCCAGCTGCGTTCACAGTACGAGCCAGGTCACAGTCATCCAGCTGACTGCCTAAGAACGTCCCCGGCAGCAATCATCGAAGTGAACCCATGGGAAGAGTCGTGAAATGCCAAAGACAGGGATCCCCTGACATACGCCAACAAAACCCAATAACCACATTTGACGACGTGGAGAAAGGGTAGACCCCGACTGGCCTACGAGTAGGCCTGATTGCTCCGCTGCGTGGTATTTTCCCGGGCAAATTTATTTAGACTGAACCCCGGGCACGCCACCCGGAGACGGACGAAGTCCAGTTTTTACAAATCTCCCGCATAGCGGCTATTTAAATGGGGCGGGGTCAGTCGTCCACCGAATGGCTCGCGCGAAACGGTGACCAGTGGACCCCATGCAAAAGCCTCTTGGACTTGCCCCTCTTTCTTTGCGCTAAGGCTAAGACCCGTCTAAGCTAGTTAGTATCTAGGTAGTGCACTGCTACTACTGCCGGTTCTTTTGGATTTGCTGGGCTTGTGGCCTTCTGGCGTGCCGAAGGTGGGTGGCATAAGGCCCCCGGCGGTTTGTTCTTTTTGGCTTTTGCTACTTTTTCTGTCCGGGCCGTGTCCCGTAGGGCTTCGCTCCGCGGGCCCTGTCGCGGCGTGGGAGACAATACACGAGCGACGAGAACCCTGGCGGGCCTCGCGCCCGGAGTGCAAAGGAACTAGAGACCATATGGCTACGGAGTAGCCGCGTTTCTTTCTTTTTCTCTCAGCCATCACTGGCTCTTCGCCGCCCGCCTGGGTGAACACGCCGCCCGCGTGGTCACCTTGTGTCCTCCGCACGCACCTTGTGCTGTTTTTTATATTTTTCTTTTTGCGCAAAAAACTAAACTTCCCGGTCTTCGTACTGACTGTCCTACCTGTTACCTTTTTGCTTTTTGTGTAGTAGGTCTTCTGTTTTTTTTTTTTCTTCAACTAGCCGTCTGCGTCCTAGAGCTACCCTATCTACTTCTTCCTCGCCGGCACTGCTTTCCTTGCTGGGGCCGGGTTCTGTTTCGCCTGCGCCGCCCTTCCGCCGGCCGCCTGCCGCCTCGGGGGCCCCGGGTCCGCATCCTGCGCTCGTTTCGCCAGTTGCTGTTTCGGTTGCGGGCCTGGTTGCTTCGCCTTCGCCTTTGGCTTTGCCGCTCTCTCCTGGGGGGGCTGCTCCCTCGCCTTTGCCTGTGCTTTCGCCCTTCCTTTCGGCGCCGGCGATCGCGCGGCCGCTCTCTCAACCTCCGCCGGATCATTATCCGGATGCTCGTCTTCTGTGCTTTCGCCGTTTTGGAGGTCTTGGAACTGCAGCGAGTCTCTGATGTACTCACGCCGCGCTGCGAGGCTGCGCCGCTTTTTCCAGTCCCGCAGCGGGGGGAAACCGAAAGCCTTCGCACCGACCGAAATCGTAGACAGGCCAATCTGTGTACTCGTGGTCGTGCCCGGTTGCGTTTACAATGCTGAGCCCTATGATTTTGGTCGCAGTCACTGTGCTCATCTCTCTGCTTGCCTCGGCGACCTGCTCCGCCGTTCTTGTGTTCGCTCGCTCAACTCTGTGGCCCCTCAAGTGCATCTGCTCGACTTGCTCGGCGAAATGGACGGCCATTCCTTCGCCCCGGCGCAGCGGCCCGCGCGTCTTTCCCCGGAGTCGCCAGCAGTCGCATAGCCTGTACGTAGGTGAGTGTAGTGCACTCCTGGCTCCTCTTGTTCCGTCTGCTAACTGAGGGATAGAAATCCACTCAGATACGCGACGAACTGTCTTTCTTCCGCTCTCTCCTCTGTGAGCAGGTGCTCGCGTTTTGTTCGTACCTGCCGAAGTACCGAAACCCGCCCTGTCGTGTCTGTTTGCAGGAGTCGGACGCCCATGCCGTCCGCCGATGCCACCACGAAAGCGCTCTCATTGTGGCACGCCCGCGGGACCTTTTCGGGCGGCGGGGGCTTGCTGCTCCTGTCCGGGATGAAGCCGCACAGTCGGAGGTCGGACTTCGCCGGCAACCTGATTTCCGCTCCCTCGCTCAACGCCTCAACCAATGCCAAGTCCGCCGTCGTCTTTACCTGTACTGCTTTGCGGTCGGCCGCGCCGATTCCTGCAAGCCCGGTGCCGTGGAAGCGGATCGGGAACGTAGCCCAAGTCACGAAGCCATCAATGTCGGTAAGGATGTTGCTCTGCGCTACGCCTCGGAGGAGCTTGATCCCGAGCACGTACGGGTCTACAATCCCCAGGATGTTCTCACTGAAAGTCAGTCGGTGGAAAAGTTCCGGCGTGACGTTGTGCATCGTGGTCATCCTCTCCCAGACCTCTCGGTCGAAACCGATAACCTTCGCGATTGAAGTCGCCATCTCGATAAGTAACTCGGACCAGTCGCTTTGGGCGCAAATCAGGCGGAGCACCGGAAGAATGTAGATGATTGGCGACATGTAGAAGCAGATGACCACCCACCGATGATCCGCGCCAGTCATCACGAAATTGCCCTTGCTTCGCATGACTCGATAGCGGAGGTGCTGCGCGAACGAGACTGAATTGTTGACCTGCTTGCGAATTGCATCAACCTGGTCCCGTATGTCGCCGAGCCGGATCGTGATGCCCAGGATCTTGGTGCACTCCTTCAAGTTGAAGACAATTCCGAAGGGGCGGAAGGCTGCGAGATATAGCGCCTGCTGGTCCATCGCCGAAGCGGAAAGGAGCATCTCGGCCTTTTTTGGCGCGAGGTGCTGCCCTTCGGGCGCGTGCATCGTTTCGCACGCTGTGGCCACTATTTTCAGCAGCTTCCGCAGTTTTTCGGCGTCGTCTTTGTGGAATTTGATGGAGAGGGTACCACCATCCACAAATTGGACGACGGCTGCCTTCCTTGGCGCCTTCTCTTCCCGCTCACTCATCGGCAGTCTCTGGCTGACTCTCGTCCTCTCGTGCTCTTTGCTCCGGGTCTTCCGGGTCCTCGTCGTCCTGTTTCCCGTCTCTGCACCGCCATCGCCCTCCTCGTCGCGGAAGAGCTCATGGACCTCCTCCGCCGGCCTGTAGTCCGGGAAGGTGACGCCGGTGTCATCTCCCCCCGCAAAATCTTCGCGCAGCGTTCGGCGGAGCTTCGCCCCTGCGCTGTCGATGCGCTTCTCATCGATTCGCCCGGCCGCGTCGAAGCACTCCTCCACGAACCGCGCCACCGCGGTGACTCCTCTCATAAAGAGCAGGACGCCACAAAGCATAGCTTCCACCGAGCCTTGGATGAGGTCTCGATGGTCGCTGAGCTCTGCGAAGCAACTCCCGTTCCTCAGGAAGAGGGTTTTCCGCCAGTTTGAAAGCATTGCCAGCTTGATGTAGGTGGGGTGCAACCGCGCCCAGCGAAAACTCCGCACCATGCTTGGTATGCTGATGCAATTGTAGAAATTGCTGGCGTCTATTCCTATCAAGATCGTTAGCCAGTTCGCTGCGTTCGTTTTTTCCTGCTCACTCAGTTCCGCCGCTCGCTCCTTGTTTTCGCAGCCGTTCTGCAGGTCTTCCGCGTAGCAGACCTTCAGGATTTCTAAAACGGTTGCCATGCAGGAAGCAGCCGGCTTTCCGGCGGCCCCGGAAGGGGTAAAAGCGTCCCCAAGGTCCGCAATGCGGGCCATGCGGTGCGTAAGGAAGCTCAACATAATCCGGTAGACCGGTGTCCCGCGAATTACCGTCCGGAGCTTCGAGATGTCCCCGCCAAGTTGTGAGGCTTTCCGGAGGATCTCGACCGGCAACACCTTCAGCGCCGGCGGCGAAGTTGCGTCCTTCTGTCCCGGGATCCAATCCGCGAGGCCAATTCCCTGCAAGAGGGCGCCGTAACCGGCTGCGAGTTGGCTAATCTGCTGGCCCGTCATAGCAGCATAGGCCCGCAAGCGGACCCCGTCGGCGCCGGAGGCTTCTTTGTTCATCTTCGTGATGTGTCTCCTCAATTCGGCTGCGGGGATTCGCAGAGGCGGTAGACCTTTCGCTGCCTCGGTCAACTGCGTGACGGCGCGCTGCATTTCCTCCGGGCTGAACGTGTGGCGCTTTCCTTCGGCGTACCGGATTCGCCCACTTTTGAAAACGTGAGCCAAGGAAATTTCTTTCGTGCACTCCTCAACCCCGACGACCTCTCTGGGGGCCGTGGCCGTGCCGGCGTTGATCTTCTTGATTTCTTCCGCCGGGGCGCCGCGGCGGACTCCTAGAACCTGCTCTCTCGCCTGCCTCGCGTGCTGATAGACGTTATTTAGCGTAGACCCATCTACCGGCCCCGCGAACATTGACCGATGCTCTCTCTCCTTTTCTTTCTTTTTGTCCGCGCCGTTCGCTCCTTCTGTTCTCCCGCCTCGCTGGCCGGGTGTCTGTCGCTCGAACAGCTGCCTCATGTCCTCTGTCGGTTCGGTCGGTACGTAGCTGCACGCACCGGAGTCCAGGAGTACCTCCTGCGCCCAGCTCTGGATGCCTTCCAGGCCGACCTGCTCGATGTCGGGCATCTGTGCTCCCTCGAATAGTGGCTCCAGAACCTCTGTCGTTTTTGTACCCCTGGGCCAGGATATTACTCCCGAAAATGGGAGGCGCTCCGCAAATTCCTTCTGTCCTTTCAGGATCTTCGCCCGCTCTCTCTCACCTTCAGTCGGAATAAGCTCCGAATGCCGCGCGTTGAAAGCGAGCGGCTTCGCCCTTTCGCCGCTGCCTGGCTGCCTCGCGTCTCCGCTCTGTGCCGGCTGTGGTGCCTGCGGCCTATACCAGCTAATGGCGGTGTGGAGTGCAATGTGGTCGCCCTCTGGTAATTCGGGCGGGCTGTTTTCCGGAATGGCTTTGCACTCTTTCTGCTGTCCCCGAACGACCTGCACCCGCTGTATCTCTGCGGCGAACAAAATGCCCTCTCTGGGTCCTACCGCTGTGAAATCGATAACCGTCGGCGACGTTTTTGAACGGTAGCACGTTGGGCCCTGCGTGTTCTGAAAGCGTGTGCGACTGTTAAGGAAATTGAAAACAGGCTCAAGGACTTCAGCGCGCACTAACGCACAAGCTGGCTGGCGGTCCTCAAGCTTTGCCCTGTCCTCCGCGTCGACCTCGTGGTATGCGTTGAGGTCGCCCGACACTATCCACAAGTCAGACATGTTCATGGCGGTAGTGATTTCCTTAATCAGGTCGCCGACCTGCTTGGCGATGAAGGACTTGCTCGGCGTATCGATTGGCACTCGTGTCTCCCTTCGGTATAGAGTCAACGTCAACCGTCTGTCTCGCACCGCCCCGACCGCCCAGAGAGTGGCGTCTTCTTTGTCGGTTATCTCCTCGGTGAAAAAAGCGCCGCACGGGTCTCGTGCAAGTATGAGCTTGCTGATCACCATGGCCGGCCGCTCTCTCACTTTGTTGCAATCTGCTATCATGCCGCCGCCGCACTTGAGGCTGGTGGAGATGCCGACCAAATTTGTCGCGGCGACAACGTGCAAACCTTTCCGCTCACTCAAGCCCTCAAAAGCTGCCTGCTCAAGGTCCAGCTCGCTCTTTTTTATTTCGACCGCCGCCGCCTCTGTTGCCCGTAAGTCCGCTACTAGCTTGGCTAGCGCCTCCGTGTTCGCTTCGCCCGAACCATTCATGTTCCAGTAGACGTGGCTCACGAACTCGGGCTCGTCGTCGTCCTCCATGTCCTCTGGACCGAGCCCGAGCATCTTCGGCGTCTGGTCGGGTGTGGGGCGGTTTAACCGCAAGCCATGTGGTTGTGGTTTTCGTCGTGCATTTTTGGTCTGCTACCTCACTTGCTTATTCCTTTTGCTGGCAGGCTCACCGACACTAGCTCTATTGCTCCCTACGTCAGCCTCATGGGACTCGCTGTATTCGTGCGTCATGCCTTCTGTGTAGTGCCTTCTCGCCAGAACACGGCATACAAAAGCCAACATGAGAACTAATTATACAAAAGCCCACACATTATGCCTATCCTTACTGTCCTTCGTGAAAAGCTCCGGCCACGCGCGCCCTACGCTTCTTTGTTATCTCTGCATGCAAAATGGGAAGGCTCTAACTACGCTAAAAAACGCCGCTGCTGCTGCTGCTTGTTTCTGAAAGAATAGAAGCGCTAAGGCTGCGCCCTCGCCCGTGACTTTTCGAACACCTTAAAGCGTCTTTTTTTCTTCCATCAACCACTGACTTTCACCCACGCCACCAGTGCTCTTTCTGTTTTTTCGTCTGTTCTTTACCTGGAGTCCAAGCAGCGCGCCGCTGTCTCACTGTCGATTTTGTCTCGATTCGTTAGCCACACCTCCCGACTACCACCCCCCCCTCGCCGTTAGTTTGGCGCCAGCTCTCTCAGCTCGCGCGTCCGGTACTGCTGGCGCTTCACCTCTCGCTCGCTCTTCTGCTTCGCCTTTTCGGTGCGCTGCTCCGTGGTGAGCACTCTGCCGTCACCTTTTTTCAGTTTTTCTTCGAAATTTGCCGCCCGCCCCTCTTTCGACATCTTGAGAAACTTTTCCCGCGATTTCACGTGGGCGCCCCGCTTCCGCTTTTTCCTTTTGTCGACCTCGTCCTGCCTCGTGTTGGGCGTCATCGCTTCCAGGCGCTTCTGGAGGTTCTCTGCAGCGGTCGCGCACAATTTTCGCGTACTCTTTCGTGCCTGGTTTTGCTCCTTCTACCGGCTGGCTCCTCGCAGGGGTGTACTCCCGGGGAGTGACGGCCTTCCTTTTTGCTGGCTCCCCCGGAAATTCGATGTCTGCCTGCCCCGGGTTGTCCATTCCGAAGCCTTTGCGCAGCCTCTCCAGCTGCCTGCGCGCCTCCATCACTCCCCTCACTCTTCGTCAGTTGGTGGGGGTGTTCGCCGCCAGCTCTCTCGATAAAGTTTGCTCACTCACAGTTCTTTCCGGTTCCGCGCGTTTGCCGGGGGAGGCGGTTCTCTGTTGCCTGCTTCGGAAAAGGCGCTGCGGCTTCCGGTCGCCGTCCTCTGCTCCGCCTCGCTCCGCTTCCCGCTGCAGAGTACAGCTTACATTTACTACAGCTTCGCTTTCGCTGTTCGGCCTCCCCTACTTAGTCACTACGCATTAGCTCCTACCTATCACATCCACCATGCCTATCAGTCTGCTTTATTGACAATCGCGCAAGCCTTCGCGTGGGTAAGTGCCCCGCGGGGCCCTTGAGTATTGATCTTTTAATATTTTTCCGGGTCGCGTGGCGACCTCGTAAGGACATGCCTAGACTGACTTGCTTCAGGGCTGGCCGAGCGCCGTTCTGTCTGACTTTTTCGCTTTCTTTCAGTGTTCTGCTGTGGAGAGTGGTTTGCTTAGTGTCCGCGTTCTTACTTTTTCAAAAACTGACCGAACTGCGAAAAAACATTTTTTTCGCGAAGTAGTAGTATCTGTAGTGTGCTCTGATTGGGCTTTCATCATCGTTCCCTCCTTCCTCGACCTCTGATTCGGCTCCCGCTTCACGACGGTGTGAACAACGGCGACAACTCCTCCTCTTCTTCGGAAGACCAGTCCGCGACGCCCTGTTTCTTCTTTTTTGCGGGTTTTTCCGGCGTTCCCACGGGTTCCTTGGGTCGCTTGTTGTTTCCCCGCTCCTGGTTGTGCGCGTGGTCTACCTCGTGGTTGGTTTTTTCTTGTGTGCCATCGCCCCCGGTCACTGTGCCGCCCAGAGGGGCGCTCTGGCTCTGCGTGATCTGCTCTCTCTGTGCCTTTTGAATTTTTTCCATTTCCTCCTGCAGTTTCTGGAGCGCCAGCATACTCTCTCTCATCCCAGGGAGACGCATCGCTTCCTCGTTCTGGTAGTGGTCTTGGTTCGCCAGTATTGCGCTGCTTTCCGCGAGGCGTTGGTGGGTGGTCGCCTGCCTGTCCGCCACAGTCCCGACGCCGGTCCCGCCGCCCAGCTCGCTCAGCAGGATCTTCGGCTCACTCCCCTTAGTGCCCCGCTCGCTCATCTGCTCTTTCATACCCGCTCCCCCAACTGTAACTACCCCGCCACCTTTTACGCCGATGCCCATCTGCGTGTTTGTGTTAGTTCGCCGTGTGCTGCTGGCGGGCTTCCCCCGAATGCCCCGCCTGCTGTTGGCCCTTTTCCAGCTCCCGCGGAGCAGTGTAGTGGTTTTGCCGGGACGGGCAGTTTCCAGTGGTGTGCTGGTGGTAGTTGTAGTTCTGTTCGATTGGTGCCTGCTGTTGTCTGGGTTGGGGGTTGTAGGCTTGGGCTTGGGATAGCTCTGGACCGCCGGCAGCTGTGAGAGGTGCTTGCGAGCCCGGTCCTGTGGCCTGCTGCATGTAGTCGCAGAGCCAAGCAGCAGCATCGTGGGGATTTTGTCCCAACTGCCCTCCCCCTACCAACTGGCTGCCTGTGTTGGCGGTTTCATACTGGATCGCTTTCTGTTCCTGGTCTCCATACCCGATCGCCGGCGGCGCCTGCATGTCCAGGCTGGACAGGGCCCCTACCGTCGATTCGTACACGCCGTCCTTCCATGTTGCTGGCGTGGCCTGGTTCTTCATCTGCCCGGCCGAACCCGTAGCAATGAAGTGCTGGAAAACGTCCGACATTCGCGCGTGCTCATCGTTTTGGAAAATTACTTTAGTCGACGAGCTCCACCATCTGGCGATGAGGTTGCTGCCACCGGTGCCGCCTTTGATTTTCAAGGCGACGGTCTCGTCTGTGCTGTCGCGGTTGTTGCAGACCACGTCGCGGCGGCCGGTCGCGTCCGCGATAAAGTTGGCGAATAATTCACACGGGACCCCTTCGAAGTTGTAGCGACCAGTCCGGGTTGGTTCATCTGCCACCCGCGCCCGCCTTCCCCGTCTAGATGACATTTCGCGTTGATGGTGACTGACTACTGAGCACTTTGGTACGAAGAGGAACTGGAAAACAAAACTGCCGGACTATAGCCTACTTTACTTCATGCTACTCCAACCAAATCAACTACCGCAATCGTTTTCCTACGTCTAGCGCCTCTCACGTCGCTGTGGGTATCGACTTTTGCATGACATGTCTCAACTGGACCACGTCAAACGGGTCTCGTCGCTTTTTGCATTACATGCATATTTTTAATGACCCATGATGTCTGTGATGCATGCCCTAGCATCACAGATTTTTAGAGGACTTTGTGATGCCTCTACCGCATGATAAATGCCCTCTCCACGTAGCACAAACTGGAGTCCTTTTGCTGGTCATGCAATACAAATTTTTTTAGAATCCAGAGACAGCATTACAAGTTTAGAATCTTCCAGACCCAGACTACATTTTTACATTTGATAACTCGCGAAGTGGTCGGGTACGATGAAAACGTTGATGTGGGGGAAGACTGGATAAAGAATCGGCGTCGACGTTTGAAGGTGTTCTTGTAGAAAGTTTTTATTCTGCATTTTTACTCTTCTCGCCATGGAGGTCGTGCTCTCCACGTCCACTTTCCCCACACACCCCACCCCGTAGTGCGGGATCGGAATTCGAAATTCGCTTGCCTGCGTCCAATCTTCAAGCAAGAGTCTGGCCCGACTGAAGCAAGCGCCGCGCACCGGCTCGGAGATCTTGATCGTAGTGACGTTCTGGAGGTTCCTAGAGGCGTTACGGTCACCATCTTGGTCATCGTCGCCCATCTCGTTTGGATAAAAATCCTCGAGATTATCGTAGTTGTAACTGTCGAACCCATCGTCGTTAAACCGATGATCTCTGGCCAAAAATCCGTCGTCTTCAGATGAGAAAATATCTTCATCCGGGTTGTTGCATTTATTCCGCTTCCGAACACCAGCAATCTGCTCGGGTGGTGCGCGTGGATCATCCTTCTGCATCCTGCGGCCCCCATCTTCCCCGACTAGTCGGTGTAGTTGCTCTATCCACAGTAAATTTCCTGCACACATACAAATGCGGTAGTTCCTGCATGACAAAACTTGGCTTCGATCCTAGTTTAGCATGACAAGTTTTACACTGCAAACTGGTGAAGTTTGTGATGCATATTGTACATGTACGGGAAATTTGTGTTGCATATCCTCCTCCTCCATAGCCGCTACGGGTAGGATTCTCGCTTTCGGCACGTTGAAGACCAGAAAAATCATTTCAAAATCTTCGACAAAGTAAATCCGGATCTGTCGGGGGAGTAGCCGGTCGCCGTCGTGATCGTCCAGAAAATGAGAATCGTGAGGGCCGCATGACGTTGTTCCTTCGTACGGAGAACACGCAGTAGAAACGCCAGTTGTCCCATCGATCTGTTCTGCACAAATTGCCGAGACTCGCTTTGCCTTCGAATCCGGATCGGTGAGCCGCAAAATTTCGTCAAGACTCAAGTCGTCTCTCTCCAGCGCAGCTGCGCATTCCTGGACACGGGCCAGTGGGTCGTCCGCGCGCTTCTGTTCTGCATTATTGTAAGGATCTTCACATTGCTCCTCCGCTCGTGGTCCATCTGCCGCTCTCATTTGCGACGAAAGCGGTCCTTTGCATTTTTCCCACTGCAGTATGTGCATTTCGTCCAGAACCCGGTGGAGACCCATATGCTGGCTGATTAATGACTTGGAAGACCCAACGACGGTGGACCACGGAGACATTGCCTCTTCTTGGTTTTGTGCCGGTACTAGAGGACAAGAATCGGAATCCTTGTCGCGGTTTATTTCGCAGCTGCGTCGTCCACATGATTCTGCGACGACAACATGATCCTCCCACATCATCTCTTCGTTCGTCTTCCCATGCACACCTTTATTGATTTTCTCCCCAAACAACACGTTCAGCATGTGATAATTCTCCTCGTCCTTCTCCCCGTTATGCAATGCAAAAGCATCATACTAGTATACAAATTAGCCCAGCATTACAAATTGAATTTGTAATGCTGATTCGACTTGAGAAAGAGATTTGTAATGCATAAACGCAACTACTACGAGTACGATACTTTTGCACAGGATACCCGTCGCGCATGGCAAATTTCTCCCGCTCCATCTCCGCCAACACGTGGCGTCGGAAGTTTTCCCGCCTGGAGTAATCCTGCACATCATCCATGTTCTTCAGTTTCATGTCAGCACATTTTGCGGAGATTCCCCCCTCCATGGAGCTGCAGCTCTGCTTTCCAGTTTTTGATGGTGCTCTCGTCCCTGCTCCTGCGCTAGTATTTGTATTTTCTTGCTTGTTTTTCAACCCAGAACACAGCCCAAATTCCTTCGCGTCTCTACTACTTCCGCACAATTCCCGTGGCAGGTTCAATTCTGAAAAGTGGTGTTTATCAAATGTAAACGTCTCTGGGTCTGGAAGAGGAGAAGTTTGTCATGCACATTTTCCATGATCCATGATGTCTGTGATGTATGCCATAGCATCACAGATTTTTTAATTTCGTATGTATCGATGCGCATCCTGCATGACAAATGCCCTCTCCGCGTAGCCAAATTTGACTCCATACTCTTGCTGCTCGTGCAATACAGATTTTGTTAGCATCCAAACGCAGCATCACAAGTTTGGCTCTTCCAGACCCAGACATATTTGCATTTGATAATTTTCCGCGTCAAACAGCTCCGCAAAGCCGGACAGGTGGGATTTGTGGCAGTTTTCTCTCTCCGAGGTCTGCCGCTCTTCCCTCGACGACTTTTTTTTCGTCAAACTGTGAAAATCCAAGCCCCGCTCTCGAATCGCTTTCGCGTCGGGCCTGATTTCCCTCCCGTAAATCCGCTGAAACAGGTCGCTTTCGTCCACGGGCACTACATCCGTTTCCGGCCTCGACAAACCGATGCCCCCGCGCCAGCAACAAAGGGAGAGGCCGAAGGGCGAGTGGGTTTGTCTTTGTGGATGAGCTTCATTGTAGTTTTTGCCCCCACGCAGAAAGTTTTCAGCCGAGTAGTTTTCGTCGGGCACGAGCAGCTTGATCCAGTCCCTCTTTCCGGAAAGCACGACGCGCTTGTCCGTGTTCTCTTTCACGGTTTCTAGGAACCGGGAGTCGAAAGCACAGGGCGGGGGAGAACAGGGTGTATCTGCTGGAGAAGTTGTAGCTGTAGTTCGTCTTTCCGTACCACACGAGGACCTTGATTGTCTTTCTAACTCCCGTCGTTTCTCAAAAACTCTTTTCAAAAACACCGCCCTGGCCTGCTCGTTACCTAACTTCTCGTATACGAAACTGGCGATCGCGTGGTGCTATGCTACGGAAATAATAAATCGGCAACCACTTCACAACTACGCCTTCGCACTTCTTAATCCATAAATGGCTTATTTTGCAACCTGATCATGGCCATCAAGAAATCGAAATTTGCAAAGTTTTACATTTCATCATGGTATGCTGCAAATAAAATTCAAGGCGGGTTGCGATGTGCAGATTGGACGAAAGATGTCGCTTTTTCATCAGCATAGATGCACGACTGGTTGCATGTCCGGGTCGTGTATCGGGAGAAAGTCGCCGACTATGTAGCTCGCCGGTGATTCTTGCAGCTCTTGGATTCTTTCCTGTATGTTGTCTTGGAACTCTGCAATGGTACCGGTGAACCGTCGGACACAGCTGTCCGGCTTACCGGGTCGTAAGTAGGGGCCGCGGGTAGAATCACTACAGCCAGCACCACCTCTGGCATCATCATCATGAACACCAACACGAGGCCCCTGCACAGCAACGGAACTTTTTGTATCAAACGACCCTAACGCTGCGACCAAGCTCCGCGGCAACCGACTCCCCGCAAGCCAGGTTGCGGGCGAAACAAATTCCGGCGAGGGGAGCGCACCCTTCGGTGCGCGGCAAGTCCCCTTGATCATGAATTTCAAAGTGTTTTCCAGGTCCTGCTTCGTGAAAGACCTCATCCGGTGCTGGGAATGGTGTAATGGGGGATGAACGTATCAAATGTAAAAATGTCTGGGTCTGGAAGTGTCTGACATTTGTCACGCACGTGTTGCATTAGCCATGATGTCTGTGATGCATACCCTAGCAATACAGATTTTCTGAGGGCTTCTTGATGCCTTTTTCGCATGACAAATGCCTTCTCAGCGTAGCAAAAATTGCATTCCCGTATTTGCTAATCATGCAATACAGCATTTTTTGGAATCCAAATGCAGCATCACAAGTTGCATTTTTCCAGACCCAGACATTTTTGCATTTGATAGAACAAGGGTGGCCCGAGTATCCACCTTGAGAGGATTTCGATTTTCGTCTTGTCCCCCAGCTTGTGCAGTTGTTGTGTCACCATCTTGTTCTGAGTCTGGCGTTCTTGTTGTAGACCCGGATGTTGTATTCTTGTTCGATATCGTTATCGTCCCCGCGCCCCCTGCCCCGGCCGTTTCCGCGTCACGGTCACCAGCAGCTGTAGTTTTCATCTTCTGTACTTCCGTTTTCACCATTCCCGCCTTCTCGACACCAGCAATCGGCTTCTGTCGGTTGTGGAAATGTCGGAGATTTTGAATCGTTTCCGAATCCGGATCGACAATAACTTTCTGCTCCGGCAGTTTCCCCTCCGGCAAACAGGGATCCCAGAGTTCGTCGTCGTAGTCAAAATCAGATTGATTTATCATTTGCTCTGAACCAGTAGAGCCTCCAAACTCAAAAATCCCGTAGGGCAAGACCGGTCGACACTCTTCCGTCAAGGTTCTCGCGAACGGCGAGTAGTCCTGACTGCGCTTCTTGAACCACGAGGGGGTGAGGCGGTTCAAGTGGTTTAATTTACAGAGGTCAATGTACTGAGAACGGTACAGGAAGCGACCTCGGTTTTTCCTGAACACCAGCTCGACTTTGGCCTTGGACAATAATGTTTTTGCGGAGCGCTGGAGTTGTAGTTCAGCTTGCTGCTGATCCTCGTCTCGTGCTAGACAAGAAGCACCCCCAGAAGCAGTGGAGATAGAAGTAGCCTTCGGGTTCGGAGTACCAAGAGGAATTTTGTCTGCGGCTGAAAAATTCAAAAATTTGCTTTTGCAACGGCGCGCGGCCACCTTCATTTCTGCTACATCACCTGCAGGGCCACCCCTGCTTTTAGTGGATGACCAATTAGGGGAGGCATTGAAACATCAGCGCCAAATCGCAATACGGGGCGCAATACCCCCGGGAAGCGTGCCAACTTTTGGCGCTGATGGACATGCAAACAAGGCCAACCAGAAAGGAGCTGCGTAAATTCGTCTGCGGCTAGGGGAGGGGGGGTCCAAGGAGAGCACCCCTGCCGGAGGTGCAGACAAATTTGCGCAAGGCCATTACTAAGTGCGTTTGGGCCTTTGCGTAAATTTGTCTGCGCCCTCACCCTCAGGCCCCTCCGGACTGCCCCAACTGGGACAGCCGAAGAATGGGGAGCCGGGCCTACAAGGGCAGGAAAGTAGAGACGCGAGATGCGGACGATGGCCAGCTACCGTGGGCGAAATTCTTTCCGGTGGAGGCGTCCCTGCTCAGCCCCCCTGCGACCTTCGAGACCGCCGGGACTGGGACGGCCCAGACTCCTTTGGTGCCATACTCAAAATCAAAATTTTTGAATCTTTTAGCCGCAGACAAAATTCACGTTGGTACGGAGGGGCATCGGGGCGAATAATTCCGACTTTCTTTTTCCTCTTCTCCCCTCCCGCTTTCCTGAACACCAGCTCGACTTTGGCTTTGGACACTAGTTTTTTCGCGGGGAGCTGTTGACGACGTTGCGGATGTTGATCGTCGTGGTTTTGTGCTGGAGGGAGAACGGTGGATGTGCTGGCACCCGCCCTTACGACCGGACCATCTTTGACATTTATTTTTCCGGCTTTGTCTTTCATCCTCTCCCCTCCCGGCTGATCCTCGTCTCGTGCTAGACGAGAAGCACCCCCAGAAGCAGTGGAGATAGAAGTAGCCTTCGGGTTCGGAGGGGCATCGGGGCGAATAATTCCGGCTTTCTTTTTCCTCCTGTCCCCTCCCGCTCCCCCGACCTCGTCGCCGGTGTAGAAGTAGCCAAAATCAGTAGCAAAGTGTTTTAAATCCGCTTCAAAAATTTTCTCGGGGATCATGTACGTTCTTTTATCGGCGAACGGAGGCCGCAAGCCCTGCCGGTGTTTCTCAATCACATCGTCAAAAATGTCCGCCCAAAAATCTGTCTCAAAGTGGATTTCGAGGCGCTCGAATTTTTTGGTGAGGTTCTGTTTGTTGTCTTCAGCGGGACGTACTGCTGTACCGTTTATTTCTGACGTGACCGAATTCTTATCGGATGAGGGGCGCTGGCAACTCAATTTTCCCCGTCCTCGCCGCTTCAGTTCGATCACGTTTTCCTCGATTTTTCGCAGAGCTTCCTGCACCGTGTGGACAACAGAAGTGGTCGTGGACGATGACGATCCGTCTCCTCCTCCTCGCAACAGCACCACTTTCGCTACTTTCCACCCTTTTTCGAAGTACAGATCTCCGACTTGCCTTTCGCTCTCAGTCAAGCTGGTAAAAACTTTCGAAACGACCACCGCCCCGTTCCGCACAACGCAGGTTTTCGCGACCAATTTGTGGTCAAACACGCCGCTATTTAGCAATTTCAAGCACTCCGGTATGGATACGGTAACCACAGCAGTACCAGTATTCCCCAGCTTTTTCAACTCTTCCTGATACATGCGTCCCCGGTTTGACCGGAAATACCTTAGAGTTTCCGCCCGGACCTGCGCGCAAATCTCCCGGTTCACCAGCAAGTGTGGCCAGACCAGGTGTAGCGAAATCTTCATTTTGTGCTTCTCCGTAGACCATCCTGTGCAAAAGTATCGTACTCGTAGGAATTACAGTCATGCAAGACAAATTTCAATTTTCAAGTTAAATCAGCATGAGACGTTCCGTTTGTCATGCTGAGCCAATTTGTATTGCAATACTACGAGTAAGTCAAATACTTTTGCAATGCATATAGACCACCCCGAGGAGGAGAACACGACGCACTCCAACTTCTTGCCCGGAAACATGCGCCCGAGGATTCGGGCCCGCTTCTGCAGAAACTTTTTGTCGGCCAGGTTGAAGAAGAGTTTGGTTTGTTCCTGACTGATATCAAATGCAAAAGTGTCTGGGT